TTTCTTCCTGGCTCAATATCTTCTTGCTGCATCATGGTTATGCTGATTACTTTTCTTATGGCATGTGCCAGTACACTAATGTTTGTGGCAGTAGAGGCTTTTCATTACAATCAAGACCAGTGTGACGTACCTATGTACAAAGCTACCTCTAAAAAACAGCCTTAAATTCTGTTTTTTAATGTGAGTGAACACTACATCTCATACTTGTCACTTATAGATGTCATTCTAGTCCCAGAAGAGCTCTTTTCAAGGTGTCGCATCATTGAAACCATTTCTATAGAGATCTCCTGAAAGCATGTGTGACCATCTATCTTGGGAAGTCTTGGAAACCTGGTATGATTTTGTTGTTTTCATTTCATTTTTTCCATATATTGAAAATAACAGGGCCATGAGCGGTTCTTACGAAAACACTGTTTGACAGATATTTTTGAGTTGGTCTAACACCACTGATGTGTGGGTGCATCCCACTAACCAAACATGGCAAGATCAAGGTGATGGTCAGGGGTGGTTGGTGGTCCTCAGTGTTGCTGTGCAATGGAAAGTGAATTTGAGATGAGAGGAACGAGTAGGGAAGAGTGATCCCCTGAACCACCCCCTCACTTTCTCAGCCGTCATCTCCACCTCGGTTTTCTGAGCCTGGGATTTGGAAGACTGTTCTGTAGCCCAAGTCTCCTATGTTTGGCTGCTGGGCTTGCCTGAGTTGAGGGTGCAATGGGTGTGACACTGGGCTGCCCAGCATTCATGTAAAGTCAAGGAAGAAGGACTGCCTCAATCCCATTGGAAAGCGTGCCTCTCTGCAGCCCCCACCATCCTCCAACTACCTGTAGGGATACTGCGTGGAAATATATCAAAGGCTTTACGTAAATGTATGTTCTGGTGTCTGGGAGGCCTGACATTCTGTGGCAGAATGAAAATCTGTCACGTTCCTTCATTTTAAAACTGATGAAGCTGCAGGTTCACAGTTATGTGGCTTACTTGCAAGGTCACACAGAGATGAGTTTTGAGCACTGCTAATAAAAGCAATCACAACAATTATTCCACAGTTATTCATAGGATCCATGTCATTCAGTAAATATTCATATCATCATCCAGTAATTGTTTGTTGACCAATTTGTATCAGGCATTTTGCTCAAAACCGTGCACGTATTTGGACAGCATATCTTCATCATATGCTTCAAAGTAATGCTGTTATCCTAAGAGTCAGGTAAGAAACCTGAGAAGAGGGTTAGCAAATCATGAATTTGGCCATATTTCCATTGTTTAGTTTCTGTGATCCTGGATGAATAACCAGAATGAGTCAAAGGAAAAGTATTCATTCCTGTACAATTTTCCAGGACAGAGGTGTGCCCTCCTGGAGTATTGGGCCCAGAATTCATTAGTGTCTGCAACCTTGCTTTAACAGCATGGGAAATATCCTCTGTTACCTGGCATTTCCCTGGAACTTTGGAATATACAAGAGAACTATGAGACTTGGTCTTCCCTTGACTATATTTAATTCTCTCTTCTAAGGTACACCTATGATTTTCACTAAGAATTTTGCTTTTCTTCCTTCCTTTTTTTGAGACAGTCTTACTCTGTCACCAGGCTGAAATGCAGTGGTACAATCTCAGTTCACTGCAACCTCTGCATCCTGGGTTCAAGTGATTCTCCTGCCTCAGTCTCCCAAGTAGCTGGGACTACAGGCACGTGCCACCATGCCTGGCTAAGTTTTGTGTTTTTAGCAGAGACAGGGTTTCAGCATGTTGGCCAAGATGGTCTTGATATCCTGACATCGTGATCCACCCGTCTCGGCCTCCCAAAGTGCTGGGACTGCTGGCATGAGCCACTGCACCTGGTCAACTTTTGCCTTTTTATAACCACAATGTATGTTTTATGAAGAAGATTTTACTGATACCTCCATTAAGAAAGAGTAACTATGAGCTATGGTTTAGGTTTTATGCCCTGGACTTACTATTTTTATGATTTGAGATTAAATTCTCATGTAAATAGAAAAATACTTATTACTAAAAGCAAATTCCTTTTTTGTTTGATTTTTTTTTTCTTTTTTTGAGACAGAGTTTCGCTGTTGTCACCCAGACTGGAGTGCAATGGCACGATCTCGGCCCACCGCAACCTCCGCCTCCTGGGTTCAAGCAATTCTCCTGCCTCAGCCTCCCGAGTAGCTGAAACTACAGGCGCGCACCACCATGCCCAGCTAATTTTTGTAGTTTTAGTAGAGACGGGGATTCACCTTGTTGACCAGAATGGTCTTGATTTCTTGACCTCGTGATCCACCCGCCTCAGCCTCCCAAAGTGCTGGGATTCTAGGCGTGAGCCACCGCGCCTGGCTTGGTTTGAGTTTTTGATGCTGAAGCACAAACTGTTGACTTTATCTTTGTCTGCATCAGTGCTGCTCATTGTCTCCCAGTATGACCTGGCCATGCCCCGGCACTTACCCTCATCTTGCTCAACCATCTCCATGCACAGTCCAATTCCATCAGTGATTCAGGCTCCTCCCAAGGCTCCCTGAAATGGGTACAGGTAGCAGGATATCAGACACATTCCAGGCACAAAAGTAACCCATACCCTAAGGCAGGCGGTTGTGTTCCCACTTCCCTGAAGTTGGCAGTGATGTCGTAGGACGGGAAGAAATACTTTCCCTTCTTAGGGCTCTATTCTTCATGTAGCAGGGCCTCTGATCTACTGCACACAACTGTCCTACATGTGAGTGAACTTGCTAAATTTCTGATTTCTCACTAGGTGGCTAGAATACATTTGTAAGACTTCCTTACTTACCCATGTCTGCTGAAGTCTGGAATCTTATCAGCATGATTTCTTTTCTTGTAAGGGGCACCTTAGGGAAGATTGGCCCCATTGCCATGCAAAGAGAGGTAAAGTGAATTTCTACTCAAAGAAACCTTGAATTTGAAACTAGGTCTTCCATTGTTTCAAAGCTGGACTGTAGGTCCAAATGTGTACATATTTAGACATAATATCCTCATCAGAATCCTCAGGCATGTGTCCTCAAGGGCTTGTGTGTCTGCTGTACTCAGCATAAAGTTATTTCTCATTATGGCAAGTTATAATTAATTTGCCAGAATTTCATTCATTATCAAGATCAACTTATTTATCATCATGGCAAGGACAAATTTAGAAGACTTATTAAATTTACTTCTTTGTTTGCCCAGCTGGAAACAGTCAATAGCTACTGATATCATCAGTGTCTTCTGAAAACCTTGGCTGTGTTAACTGCTTTGACTCAACATGGAGCAGAGGTATTGGTGCACTGTACCTCAGGATGCTGAAATATGGCTGAAGTCCAGAATCACTGGCTTAGGCCATACACTGAGGTCATCTCATGCAGCATCGGCCACTGGTTCCAATGAACCCACCATGACTACACTTCTCATCAATCACCAGTCACTAGACTGAGAATTGTGTGAAAGCTGGGATCCTATTTTACTCACCTCTGTGGTCATGGTTCTCAGCTAAGGGCCCAGCACAGAGGGGTCTCTCAGCAGTGTTCATCCATGACTGAATAAAATTGATTACAAACCTCTGACCCTTTCGCCTACATTTCTGTCCCCAGTGTCTACTAAGGATTCTCCTTCCCTCAGAATGCTGCAAATCCCCTTCTCTAGAGAGGTGCCTGCCCTACACCGTCCCTGCCCCAGGATCCTCTCCTGTGGGAGCTTGAAGGAAGGCTAGCCTGTTCAGAAATTTTTTTTTTTTTTTTTTGAGGCAGAGTTTTGCTCTAGTTACCCAGGCTTCAGTGTAATGGTGTGATCTCAGCTCATTGCAACCTCCACCTCCTGGGTTCAAGCAATTCTCCTGCCTCAGCCTCCCAAGTAGCTGGGACTACAGGCACGCACCACCATGCCCAGCTACTGCTTTTGTATTTTCAGTAGAGATGGGGTTTTGCCATGTTAACCAGGAGAGTCTCGATCTCTTGACCTTCTGATCCACCCGCCTCGGCCTCCCAAAGTGCTGGGATTATAGGTATTAGCCACCAGGCCTGGCCAATCTGAAAATGTTCTCTTATGCTTCCCCCTGTCATTAGGAGCAATGTCCTCTGACATACCTTCCCAGCCTCCGGGCTGCCACAACACCTCAGTTGGTTAGAACTACTGTATCTTGTTGAAATGATATTTGTGTTCTTCCACTCACTGGCTTTTCTTTGGAGACATTAAATAGCTGAATCCCAAGTGCTTAGCACAGTATAAAGAAAATTAAATACTCAATAAATATTTATGAGAAACTTCCCTCAACTGAAGGTGCAGAAGAATAGTAAAGTATCACTGCTTCACATATAAGCGAGGGACACTTACTCTGGCACCTGACCTAGGGCAGAGCTGTTCGGTGTAAGAATGAACACCTCCAACCCTTCTGTAAGCACGGTTATTCCCTCGAACCCACAGTGACCTGAAGAGCATCCACTGCTACGGCAGCCCCGAGGTCGAGGCTCCTGGGTCTGAGGGAGGGGGGCGCACGGTCGCATCCTCCCCCTCCTGGAGTTGAAGCTGCCCCTCACTATAAACCAGCTCTGATCTACCCTATGGCTCTCCCTGGCCAGAGGCAGGAGATTCCTGTGGAGTAGTTTCTCTCTCAGTCCCCACTGCTCAGCTCATGCTGCTTCCTGAGAATTTAAGTGATCATAGGCATTGCCCATTTCCCCTGAGGCTTCTGTCCCAGTTTGTCCTTATTCTCCCCTTCTTTGGTTTTCATCTATCAATGGCTTATCCTTTTTGGATTATTCTCATCCCCTAAACTTGCTGACTTTCTTTCTTTCCTCAGCTCTGGGATTTCAGGATGTAGACTCAGCTGAGGCTCCTGCAGGAGACACACACAGTCAGGTCTCGGCCGACGGTCCCAGGGAGCACTGAAAACCATCTCAATTCCTCGGAGACTCAGAGAAACAGAGTAGGAAGGGACCTCAGAGAGGTACAATAAGCCCCTACTTTACCCATGAGGAACCTGAAACCCAGAAAGACTAAGACTCTCCCAGGCACCCTCACCTCTTGGTGACAGCAGAGCCCACACACAAGCCTTGGCCTCAGCCTCCCTGTGCAGAGCAGGTAACTCACCCTCCAGAAGCTCACTGCTGACTTTCAGAAAACTTTAGAATAGAAATACCAATTTCCTCTGTGAAAACAAAAACAGTAAAAGCCCCTTTCCTTGGACAAACCCTTTATCACAGTTCTATAGTCCTGGCATTTATACTCAGTCAGCTGTCACTCACTAGCTGCTAGATTGGGGCAGGGAGCACACAGGATTAAAGAGTGTTTCACACAACCCTGCTTTCCTGGCCTGGGCTCTCAGCTCCTCCATTCTTCCTCAGAAAGATTCCTCTGCTGTTAACTGCTGGAGAGTCCAGGCCCTCACATGGGCCATTTCTCCAAGAAGATCCCTGTTGTTTTCTTCCTTTCTTGGAGATAGAGAGAGCAGAGATGGGTTCTGGGACTCCAAAGTCTTAGGTTTTTCTCCTGAGCCAGCCAGGTCAGCTGAAAGCAATCATGACTGTGAGAACTCAGGACAGTGAAGAGGAGCACAGGCTCACAAGGACAGCCCCTCCTAAAGATGCTCAGGACTGTGACACAGGCAATATCTGACCAATTCTTCTGGGGATGATGTAACAAGGATTAAGTGGAGAATGCTGCCATGAGGGGAAAGGGGAAGAACCAAAAGAGTTGGGGAAGAAGAAAAATAAAATGTGTTCAAAAATGATAGAAAAAAAACGCAGAGCCTGGAGGCAGAGAAGGGAGGCGCCTGAGAAGGACTCCATGAGTTGTGATTGGTTGAAAGATGGAAAAGACAGGTAAGGAGAAAAGCAGGTAGCATTTGAAGTCAGAGTGTCTCCTGGCTGACAGCCAGCACAGAAAAAGGGCCCTCAGTCCTCCACGAACAAGAATACAAACTCTTTCAATACATGTAGTGAACTCAGAAAAATGGCCTGAGCTCTAGAGAAAAAGCATTCCCAGGCCATTCCTGGATTTTAGCCTCACAGGACCCTGATCAAAAAACTCAGGAAGGAAGGAAAAGAAGGAAACAAGGGAGGGATGGGGGAACAGACAAACTTACATGAAGATGAGGAGATCCAGGGGAACTTACACCACCGATATTTTCCATTAACAGGAACACGAAATCTAGGGGAAAGAGGGTGGGGGGGGTAGAGAGAGAGAGAGAGAGAGGGAGGGAGGGAGGGAGGGAGGGAGAGAGAGGGAGGGAGAGAGAGAGAGGCACTACTATAAAACCATACACCGTGTCCATGGTGTACAATCCTTCCTGCTTCTCTGGGACACTTTCTGTCTCTGACCTGCTATTGCTAGAGACACTGAGTCTTCCCTTTGGATAAGTTCTGGCACCCACAGGAATGAGATGAAACAGTGAACCCCTCAACACCAGGCCACGACCTTTCCTGCTGCTCCTCATCCACTCCAGAAGCTACCTGGCTGCAGGTGGGGGTCTTAGCCCCTGGGTCTGACATCATCCCTTTGCCTTTCTCACTGGGCTTCTCTCCTTGCACTGGCTCCCACTCCCCCAGGACCTGGCAGGTGACCATATGAGAAGGACACAAACAGGCCACGTCGCTTTCTTTCTCCCCCTCTTGATGCCTGCAGTGGTGGGTTCCATGGGATAGCGACCTGGTATTTACTCATTATGGTGCCCCTAGCCCAGAGCAGGGCCTGGCACCAACAGCCACCCTGTGAATCCTCAGTGAAAGATGGCATCCACCACAAGGTCCTGAGGAACCAAGAATTCCACAGTGGCCCATCAATTTTAAGTCCCACACCATTCTAGAATGGGATATTGAAAGGCCTTCAAAAGTGGCCACACTCTGAAACGATTATACAGGCAGCCGAGCCATGTTTCCCCATCCTGGACACATCTAGAGGCACTGCCTAAATCCAGACACATCTCCCCACCCAGGACAGTGCAGGGGCCTTAGCCTGGAAAATGCGGGTGGATGGGAGAACCATGAAAGCTGAAGAGGAGAAAGCAGGTGAAAAGAGAGACAAATGGGGATGGAGACTAGGGGGTGAGGGGGAAGAGAGAGGAGAAGGACTGAGAAAAAGGCCTAAAGAGAAACCGTCCTCTTCTGAAGTCAAATAACTTCCACCTGACCATGCACTACATCTCGTCGGTGGCACACGCTGGTCATGCTGCGATGTTTAGGGCCTAAGGAATCTTCCCTTCTCATCTGAATCCCAATAGAGAGAGGACTCTCTGACCCCATCCAGCTGGCAGTGCCTCATGATTTTTACCTGTTGGATCTGACAGCTCTTCATGTCACCCCACACCGTGGGAGGCTGCTCTTGGTGCGCTGAATGGGGAAGATTCTACATCAGTGCCTCGGAGAGTCCACTGGAAGCCCTGGACACCGAGAGTCGGTGGTGCCCCAGCATGGAGGCCCAGAGCACACAGCATTGAAGCTCAGACGCCCTCAGGAGGACAGTAAAGGACAATGTGCCGGTGAGAGCCTGGGTCAGCAAGAACCTCCGCCAGGGTCTGAACATGATTGGCCTTCATATAAGCTATGACATAAAAGAGAAATCAAGGTTAACATTAAGATTTGGGGCTTGGGCAACGTGAAGGATGAAACTGCCATTTGTTGAGACTCGGAAGACTAAGAAAGGAGCAGACTGAAGGGTGGCGGGAACTAGGGTTGGCTGGGTTTCTGTCGTACGCAATCAACACTCTTGACCAGCCTGGGCAACATAGTAAGACCCTGTCTCTGGAAAAAAAAAATTAGCCAAGCATGGTGGTGCACACGTGCAGTCTCAGCTACTTGGGAGACTGAGGCAGGAGAATTCCTTGAGCCTTGAGTTAGATGTTACAGTGAGCTATGATGGCACCACTGCACTCCAACCTGCAGGAGGAAAAAGAAAAGGTCCTGATTAAATACTTGCATACCCAGAGAAGTTTTCACAAAGTACTCTTGGAGGCAGATCTTAGTGAACAGGAATTCCATTCATTCTGTTAGGAAATTAAGAGTGTAGGTGTGGTTAGTTAATGCTGAATGAACTATCTTTGGAATCTCATCTACTGGTCCATCCGGTCTATTTATACGTGTGTGTGTGTGTGTGTGTGTGTGTGTGTGTGTATTCTATCTGCCATCTCACTGAGCTTCGCTAGTTTATGCTGCAGTAACAAAAGCCCCCAAATCTTAGCAGCTACACATACAAAGGTCAATTTTCATTGACATTTCCTTGTATGGCATTTGTGACTCTACTCTAGACAAGCTCTTTTATTCGTTAGATGGTGAATGCTGTGATATTTGGAGAATTTATGAATGTGGTTCATTCATTCATTTAACAACTGTTTCAATAACTGTATCATACCAGGCAAGGTCAAGTACTGAGAACACGGTACCAAATAAGAAACAACATCTCTAATTTCCAAGACCTTATATTAAAATGAGATTAAATGCATACAAAACAACCATAATGAATATCATATTCATAAATTAAATAGACTTAGTAAATATTCTAAGTTACAAAAATATAAAATTATTAAAACTAAAATGGCCAGGTGTGATAGCTCACACCTGTAATACCAACAACTTTGGGATGACAAGGTGGGAGGATCATTTCAACCCAGGAGTTTCAAACCAGTCTGGGCACCATAGGAAGACCCTGCATACAAAAGATACAAAATTAGCCAGGCATGGTGGTGCATGCCTGTAGTCCCTGCTACTTAAGAAGGCTGAGGTGCGAGGCTGCTTGAGCCTGAGAGGTCAAAGCTGCAGTGAGCCACGATCATACCACTACACCACTGTACTCCAGCCTCGGCAACAGAGCCAGACCCTGTCTCAAGGAGAAAAAAAAAGGAGAAGAAGAAACAATTTAATCGATATACTCATGAAACTATTATGTAGAATCCTATCGTCTACATTATATCACATCAGCCCTTTAAGTGGCTTAACAGTTAGATATGATCCATAAAATTTTCCTGGTGATTAAGCATACCTAAGAACAATTAAGTATAAAAGAGGTACTGCCTTGACAGGAAGATTGTAAAAATGTTCAAAGACAAATAAATAAAAAGAGAATAAAACCTGTAGCTCTGTGAGGCTCAAATAACATCTAATTGAAGTCACAAGGAACATCTAGCAATCATTCTGAACACCAAAGAATTCACTTAATACATTTTGCCTGAACTCCCAACAGATCTCACTTACCAACACCTCTATGTAGCCAAGAAATTGACAATAGTTTATAAATTACCACCTATGACTCCATCTGCTCTACCCACTTAAAAAATGTCATGTATTTCTTTATTCTTTATTATTTTTTGTAGAGACTGGATCTTGCTATGCTGCCCAGGTTGGTCCAGGAACAGACCCACACTGATTTCCTCAATCAGATGACCATACAGCCATCCAATTGATGAAAAAAAGCGCTACACAGTGCAGAAGGACAAAGATGGTCTTCTCCATACATGGTTCTGGATCAAGCTGTCAGTCACATCCATGTAGTAAAAAGTGAATCATGGGTGGGTGGGTTGGCTCGAATCCTAGCCCTCTGGGAGGCTGAAGCGGGCAGACTACTTGAGCCCAAGAGTTTGAGACCAACCTGGGAAAATGGTGAATCCCCATCTCTACAAAAAAACCAAACTTAGCCAGGCATGGTGGCACATGCCTATGGTCTCAGGTACTCAGGAGGCTGAGTGGGGAAGATTGCCTGAGCCAGGAAGTGGAGGTTGCAGTGAGCTGAGATTATGCCACTGCCCTCCAGCCAGGGCAATAGAGTGACAGCCTATCTGGGGCACAGGGGTGGGGGGTGGGGAAGCATAAACTAAACTAAAATTGCTATGAGATTAAGTTTTCAAATTCTTAGGTTAGGCATTGATTAACAGGACACAAAACGCAGTCACCGTAAACGAAAAGATTGATCAAGTATAATTTCATTAAAATTAAGAAACTCAGGCTGGGTACACTGGCTCATGACTGTAATCCCTACGCTTTGGGAGGCCAAGGCAGGTATTATCACTTGATCCCAGGAATTCCAGACCAGCCTATGCAACGTGTTAAAACCCAATGTCTACTAAAAATACAAAAAAGAGCTGAGCATAATGGTGCTCCCCTGTAGGTCCCAGCTACCTGGGGACTCAGGCAGGAGAATCTCTTGAGCCTAGCTTGGGAGGTGGAGGTTACACTGAGCTGTGATTGTGCCACTGCACTGCAGCCTGAACAACAGAATGAGATCCTGCCTCAAAAACAAAAGAAAACTGGAGAATCTCCATTCACATAAAAACACCATTAAAAGAGTGAAAAGGCATGCTACAGTTTGAAAAACCGAGAAATGTAATACATATAATACATATATATCCTAAAAAGGAGACACATCCAGAATAAAGTATTAGGAATCAACAGAAAAACAAGCATATCAATGAAAACAGGATACGAAGATTGAACAGGCACTTCACAAAAGAGGACATATAAATGGCAATAAAAATACACAATCTCAATGCCAGGAAAATGCAAAATGAAACTACACTGATATATTACTGCACCTCTACTAGAATGGCAAAATAATTTTGAATGGACAAGAATAAGCAAAGATGTGGGGTAACCAGAATATTCCCAGCTAAGCGGTACAACCACTTTGTGAAAATGATCAACAATAACTGATACTAAAGTTTTGTCATTCACATACCTCTAAAACCAACAATGCCACTCCTACATTTATACACCAATCTGGAAATGTTCTATTTCTTGATACGTAGTGAAATTTACTTAGTGTAAATTCATTACCTGTATTTCTTTTCTTTTCTTGAGACGGGCTCTCACTCTGCCATCCAGGCCTGAGTGCACTGGCATAATCATGGCTCACTGTAATCTCAACCTCCCAGGCTCTGGTGATCCTCCCATCTCAGCCTGCCGGGTAGCTAGGACTACAGGCACACACCACCACACACAGCTGATTTTTGTCTTTTCAGTAGAGACGGGGTTTGCTAGGTTGCCCAGGCTGGTCTGGAACTCCTGGGCTCAACTGATCTGCTCACCTTGGTCTCCGGAAGTGCTGGGATTACAGGTGTGATCCACGGTCCCGGGACCACCTGCACATTTAAAATTGTGAGCTTCCTCTGTAGACTTGAGTAACTTTCCCAAGACTTCTTTGACACAAAGGTCTCAGAAATCTTAAAGCTACCGTTTTAGAAGAGAAAAAACGAGCTTCTGGTTCACAGCTGAAATTTTACCAATAAAATTTAAAAACAAAAGAAAGCTACTAACGCGTATCAGCTCAGAACAAAGATGAAAACTACCAGCAGATTACTTTTCTTTAACTTCGTCAAGCACTGGGAGTCAAAGAAAAGATAGCACTGCAAGAAGAGACTTCCTTTTGAAAGCAGCTTTACCAGCAACACACAGAAGGAAATGGAGGAAAGCATTCCGGAAGTCTTGCTTAACTCTTCTGTGAGAGGATGCCAAACCAGATGATCTGAGAAGCTCCCAAGGCAGACAGACACAGGGAAACCACAGCAACTCTTTGGAGCGCAAACAGCAGCACCACAATCTAACCTACTGGAAATGCTGCGGGTCATCTGAGGCTTGCCCCGCTAGTCCTGAGGCGATTCAGCGACGGCTACAAACGCTCCCCTAGTGCTTCCTGGATCTGGCACACCTGGCTTGCCCACCACCAAGCCGGAGACCGCACCAGGTGCGGAATCCCGGAGGCCAATAAAGACCCCAACTTTGCAAATTTGGGGCTTGAGATCTCCCGCCCCTCAGGTCCCCAGAGGGAACCAATTTTTGGCCTCCAAGGTGGGGCAAAGGGTCAATGTCCTCCACCAGATCGAGGAGGATGTGCCACCGAAGCTGCTCCATCCCTCCACCTCCTGGGATGCCACAGGAAGACTCGCCCACGAGTTTCTTCCCCAGAGCTGGGCTGCGGCCGGCAGTGGCAGGCTAGGAATCCAATGCAGGCAACTTAAGCGCTCGCGGGGCCAGGCGCGCCCGCCCCGCTGGCACAGCAAAAGTTGTGGAGGCCGCCGGCACGCACATCGACCCAGCTGTGCGCCTCTGTTCCCGGACTCACCGCTCTCCCGGCTTGGCGCGGCGCCCTTACCTCGGAAAGGCTGAGTGGACTTCCCCCTAACCTCGACTTCCTAGTAGACCTACAACTTTCAGTGCAGATCCCGACCGCAGCCCCGCGGCGACACTCACCTCGGAAACGCTGCCTGGACGTCACGGTAAAGCTTCACTTAGCGCGCCGCCGACGCACCGGCCCGCGCCACTGAGCCGCCCGCGCCTACCGCGACGCTGATGCCCGGTCACTGCCGACGCACCGACCGAGCCTCGGACGCCGCTGTCTCCCCACAGACTCTCTGGGCGCCCCCGACGCGCGGTCGCCGCAGAACCTCTGGACGCTGCTGACCGGGACCGCGCCGCCGACGCCACTGACGCTGTGGCGCCTGGGACTCCGCCGACCCGCTGACCACTCGCGGCCGCCTCCGACGAGCCTACCGCGCCACCTACACTCCCGACGTGCCGACTGCACCGCTGATTCCACCCGCGCCTGCGACGCCGCCGCAGCGCCTCGGATGTCGCCTTCGCGTGGCAGAGGCCGACCGCGCCGCGAACATCCCCAACATGCCAGAGACGCCCACTATGCAGACCGCGGCGCGTACACCCCCGACGTAGTGACCGTTCCTGGGACGCCACCATCGCGCCGCAGACCTCGCGGACGCCGTCAGCGCCGGGGACCCCACCGCCAAACCGATGACCGCGGCGCGGATGTCCCCGACCAGCATACCGCGCCGCCGATGCCACTGACCTTTTGCGCGGCTGGGAAGCCGCCGAACCGCTAACCGCGCCATGGATGCACCCGACCAGCTTACTGCATCGCCTACATTCTGCACGCGCCGAACGCGCCTCCGACGCACCGTAGACGCCGGGATCGCGCCGCTGACGTCACTGACGCGCCGACCACGCTGACGCCATAAAACACCCCCCCCCCACGCCACCTGCGCGGATCGCGCCTCCAATGCCGCTGACGCAGTCCAAGCGCGAATCGCGCCACCGATGGCACTGACCTTGTGAGCGGCTGGGAAGCCGCCGAACCGCTAACCCTGCCGCGGATGCACCCGACCAGCTTACTGCACTGCCAACATACCCGACGCGCCGACCGCGCCGCCGATGCATTCCGCGCCTGGGACGCCTCCGACGCACCGTAGACGCCGGGGTCGCGCCACTGACGTCACTGACGCGCGGACCACGCTGACGCCATAGAACACCCCCCCCCACGCCACCTGCGCGGATCGCACCTCCAACGCCGCTGACGCAGTCGAAGCGCGGACCGCGCCACCGACGGCACTGAACTTGTGAGCGGCTGGGAAGCCGCCAAACCGCTAACCGTGCAGTGGATGCACCCGACCAGCTTACTGCACCGCTGACATTCCCAACGCGCCGACCGCGCCGCTGATGCCGTCGGCGCCTGGGACGCCTCCGACGCACCGTAGACGCCGGCGTCGCGCCGTGACATCACTGACCCGCCGACCACGCTGACGCCATAGACAGCCCTGGACGCCGCCGGCGCGGACCGCGCCTCCATCGCTGCTAACGCAGCCGAAGCGTGGACTGTGCGGATTACGGCGCTGACCCTGTGAGCAGCTGGAAAGCCCCCGAACCGCTGACCGCGCCGTGGGTGCCTCCGATCAGCCTACTGCACCGGCGACATTTCCGAGGCGCCGACCGCGCCGCCAATGCCATCCGCGCCTGGGACTCCGGCCACGCACCATAGACGCCTCGGACTGCCGCTGACACGGTCACCGCCTGGGACACCGCCAATGAAGCTACTGTGCAGGTAAGACGCACCATAGACGCCTCGGACTGCCGCTGACACGGTCACCGCCTGGGACACCGCCAATGAAGCTACTGTGCAGGTAAGACGCACCATAGACGCCTCGGACTGCCGCTGACACGGTCACCGCCTGGGACACCGCCAATGAAGCTACTGTGCAGGTAAGAGCAAAACCTATCTCTGACTTCCTGTTCCTCTCCCGCTTGTATTCTAAGTCTGAAGCAGGACCCCGTTCCATCATTTTCTGAAAACCGGAGATTCTGCTTTGTATACAAGGACAAAAACCATAGCAGCCATTATTTCCATGGTTGTAGTTTAGAAAGTGAGAGACTTTAGCATTTCTCCTTTCTTTTGTAATAGGAACTTTGTGAGGCGAGCTAGTGAGTATTGGTTTCTGTTCACATACTTCTTATTTCCAATTCTTGGTCATACGTAAATACACATTTCTCTCTCATTCTCTCTGGCTGTCTCTTACTTTGACGGAAGCATTGCCAGGGTCCATGAGGCACATACTATTATCCCTGTTTTACAGAGGAAGAGACAGACTTCTGGCACTGCCCAGCCCTCCAGCCGCAGCTGTGGCCTCCTCTGCCCCTGCCCCTGCCCCTGCTCCAGGCCCTGCTCTGGCATCTACTTCCGCAGCAGAGGACTCCCCGGAGCAGCACTTTACAGGACTACACACCTCGCTGTGTGATGCTATTTCAGGCTCAGTGACCCACTCTCCTCCAGAGAAGCTTCGAGAGTGGCTAGAGACGGCTGGGCCCTGGGGCCAGGCTGCGTGGCAGGACTGCCAGGGTGTGCAGGGGCTGCTGGCTAAGCTGCTGTCCCAGCTGCAGTGTTTCGATCGCACCCACCGGTGCCCCTTCCCCCACGTGGTGTGAGCTGGCGCCATCTTCGTGCCCATCCACCTGGTGAAGGAGCGGCTCTTCCCTCGGCTGCCACCTGCTTCTGTGGACCATGTGCTGCAGGAGCATCGTGTGGAGCTGCGGCCCACCACACTGTCGGAGGAGCGGGCACTTCGGGAGCTCGCCCTACCGGGCTGTACCTCACGCATGCTGAAGCTGCTGGCGCTGGGCCAGCTGCCCGACATTTACCCTGACCTTCTCGGCCTGCAGTGGCGTCGGCCTGCAGTGGCGTGACTGTGTACGCCGCCAGCTGGGTGAGCATGGGGCGGCCCCAGCAGCCACCGGAGCGGTGTGAGCAAGTGACAGGTGTGTGTGCTGTGTGAGTGGTCACAGCTGGGGCTGAGTGATTCCAGGGACTCCTGCCTGGGCAGGGGGCTCTCGGGTGGGCTGTAGGTACCCCCGCTCATTGACCCTCCAGACTGTTAGTGAGCACCTTCACAGCCTCCTTTCTAGTCCTCTGAAAGTGCCAGCTGCTCTGTCCCCATGGAAACTCGGCCTCCCCTGGTGCTGCACCTTCCTGGGTCCCTCCTCTGCCTGTGCCGTCTCCGTCTTGGGTGTGGTGTTCCCGGTGCTCTGGTTAGACCCTGTTTTCTAGCTGAGATCATTTCCCTGAGTCTAGCCCGGCCTCCCGATTTCTGAGCTTTCGCCCCAAATAACCCATTGCTTGCTGGTCTTCTGCGCCGGGTCTCTTCCCACACTGAACTTATCCCAAATCATACTCCTGAGCCTTCCTCAGTCGCCACCCTCAGTCTTTTCCACGTCATTGAAGGGCACCCCTGTTCACAAAGCTCCTCATGCGGGAGATCTGCTGAGGGTCACAGGTGCCTTTCTGACCGAGCGGTTCTGCAGTCCTCAGCCCTGACGGCACAAAAGTGCCCATAGGCTGCGTCGTTTTGTGGTCTGTTTTTCCTCTACTCGTCGTCTTGTGTCTACTATTCTCCAGCTTGTTTTTTTAATGTCCTGGAGGATCACACAACTGCCGAAGTGTCCCGTGGTATGTATGATCACCCTTCTTCAGCTAGGGATCTGATGATGGGACCGACGGGATTCTGCCATTGTCCCTCCTGCGTCAGTACACCTGGCATCACGGCCTGAGGCCCCCTCTAGTTCTACTCTCCCTGTGGCCTCCACCGCCACCCTCTTCCATCCGCCTCTTCCTGTAGAAACTGTTCCTCCTAGTTCCATCCCCATAGCAGCAGCCTTGCTCTGGCCCTTACCTGGTCAGGATGGAGAAGGGCCTGAGGCAGTGAGATGTAGATGCTGATCAGCAGCCTGGCTGACTAGCATCCCTGAACCCTGAACATTTACAGAATTGGAGCAGATGCCTTACTGGGATGCAAAAGAAATCCAGGCTCAGGCGTTCTGTTACCACTGAGTGTGAGGGTCAGGCATCACTCAGGGCTGGGCTGCCCAGCTCAGTCCTCTTTCCCATACAGTTGGGCTGTCTGGGGTCCAAAGAGGGTCAGGTCCTTGTCTTCTGGGCTGCCTGGTGGGCAGTGGAGTCTGGCCTCCACACAGTCCCCGCCTGCTCCGAGTGGAGCTTGCAAGAGACGGGGGCCTGGGAAGGAAGTGACTGGGACCAGGCTTCCTGCCTCTGGCTGAATAGTGTTGCCCCTGTTCTCACTCCCTCCCCCCATCCTTGGGGGCTCCTTTCTGTGTGTGCCCCTAGACAGTGATTCCGGCCTGCCTTTCTTCCAGGTTCCTGCGCTCCCCAGCGTGGCTTTTAGGGCAGTCCGTGCCTGGGCCTGGGCTGGGGCTTGGGTTCTGGCTCTGGGGCTGGCATAAAGATGATGGCGGTCTTATGTATGGCAGGGCCCTCTGTTCCCATGCCTTAGTTTTCCCATCTGGACAGTGGGTATTGGGCCACGCCAATGGTTCCTGAACTGCTGAACCCCTTTCCTCTCATCTTTGTACCCAAACAGCCTCTCCTGAGCAGTGCCTGCATCAGATAGAGCTCTGGGGTCACCTGCGGAGAAGCCCATCTTTTTGGCTTGGATGGTCTGGCCAGTAGGCACATGTGGGGAAGAGGTGTGATGCCAGCCTGATGTGGGGCAGAGCAGAAGCACTGTATGGGGGGGCTCTGGAGGCCAGGAGGTGGGACCTGAGGGTACGGGGTCTGCAACCTGACTATGTGTTCATTTTGCAGGTGACTTTGACACTGAGGCTGGAGCTGTGTCCCCCTCAGAGCCCACTGTGGCCAGATATGAGCCAGAGAAACTTGCCCTGGCTCGGAAGTCACCGGCCCCCAAGGTCAGGAAGCCAGGGAGGAAGCCACCAAGGCCTGGCCCAGAGAAAGCAGAGGCAGCTGCTGGGAAAGAGTCCTGTGGTGCCTCCGCTACCCCTGCTGCCAGCACCAGCCCACCTGGCCGCAGGCTGAAGGCCGGCTTCCGCAGTCTGCTGGAGACCACCTGGCTCAATGGGCTGGCCCTGCCTACCTGGGGCCACAAGGCCTCAAGACCAGACCGGCCTTCGCCCCACCCACAGCTGCTGGACAGCCAGAACCCTCACCTGTAGCGCTGGTTGCCGGTGCCGTGTGTACGGCGGTCACTCTCCAGCCTTCCTTCTGCCTGCCCAGCTGCCTGGGCCAGGAGGGGATGCTGGGGCCATGGCTGCTCTCCTGGATGGGGTCCAGCTCTGACCCTGGGGCCCACCCAGGGTGGGCTGAGAGCCCCTGAGCTTTTCATATGAGGGTCTTTATTGGAAGGACTCCTTCCTGTTTCTCCCTAGAGAACACACACATGGGCTCTGGAGCCCAACAGGCCTGGGCTTGAAACCCGGCTCGTGTTCTTGCTGCGTGACCTGGGCAAGACACGTCACACAGCAGAGGGCTCTATTGAGCCCTCATTCCCCACGTGGAAAATGGGAGAACGCCACCTTTCTCACAGGGTTGTCGTGGGGATGCTGCCTGACACGTACTCCGTCACGGGTTGGTCTCTGCTTCCTTTCTGGGATGGCGGAGAATCGGAGCCAGAGAACCTTCCTATAGAAAGTCTTCGTGTGTTCTAGGACCTGGCTGTCGAAGAGTGGTGCCTTATGGAGTGGATGTGACTCACACCTTTAGGATTCACCCCCAGCACCTGGGGTTGGGTTGGCCCCAGCCCTCCAGCCTGGAGCTCCCTGAGGGAGCCTGCACTGCCCACTCCCAATCCCCAGTGATGGTGCAGGGATGCAGCCTGGAGCTGGTGTCCTTGTTCTGGGGCTGCCACTGCCACCCCAGGAGGCCCCAGGCCTGTCCTGAATCGATGTCAGTGCTTCCCTGAACTGCCTCCCCCACCCCAGGCATTCTCCCAGGAAACTTGCATTTTCTAGGAGCGAAGCAGCTGCTGGGATTCAGGGACTGGTGCAGGCAGGCTGAGTGGCAGCTCAGGCTCAGAAGGCCTCTGATCGTCTGGACTGAGGACCCTGCTGCTCCCCAAGCCAGAACCCATCAGCCAGGCCCACTGGCAGCCACCTGCCTTCGGAGGGCTGAGTTGAGCCAGAGGCTGGCGAGCTCTGGATCTTATTTAAGGGATGTTGATGAGCCTCTGGGCCTTCGAGGCAGCCATTAAAGCACCTGGCTTGTGTTCGGAAGTGGGGCCTGGCTGTGTGTGGGGTGGTGGCTTTCATGTTCATCACTGTGTACCTACCCCTTGCTCTCAGGCTGCTCTCCCTGCTCCCAGTCCAGAAGGTGCTGAGCACCTGCTCTAGCAAGTGGCCAGCTCTGGCTCTGTGGGCCCCTCTCCCGTGCATACTTGCTCCGGGAAAGCCCTCCCTCCTGGGACCCCATGGGTCCTGGTGGTGGTGGGTCGGTGGCTTACTGCCTGTTGAGAAACGCTGGTCACTAGACCCCAGCACATACCCCTCTCCCAGGGCCAAGCATGCCCTTCACCGTCTGTGTGGAACTCCCAACCTCCCCATTGCTGGTGACCATGCGGCCCACTGTCATCAGCTTGGGTGAGTGGTGGGTGGTTTCCTGGGCCCACCCTCAAAGAGACCCTACCCCAGCTGGGCTCGATTTCCTCAAAGGCTTGTTCTCAGGGCAGCTAAGGTAGCTTCCTGGGCCGGTCTTCCCCCTCCACCTGGGCCTGGGGCCAGTCCATTGGGTCATTGTTAGACTTGTGTGGCTTCCTGGTGGTGGGGCCCAGCTGCGCCATCCCTCCTGTAGCAGCCTGGCTTGACACTAGGCTGGGATTTGGAGTGGTAGCTGCCATTGTCCCCTTATACTGTTCATACTGGCCTAGGAAGAGTCCTGGGCTGTGGAGGGGACAGGTAAGCACAACACATTGGCCACTGCAGTGTCAACCTGGGGGAGGGTCCTTGGGACCCAGAAGAGGTTTCTAAACTGGACCTTGAAGACAATTAGGAAGTCATGTGCAAAGTGGGGTCTGGGTGGACAGAACCGTGCATGCAGAGTCTTGATGAGTTTGCTGCAGGGAAATCCCCAGGCGGGGCTGAGAAGCCTGGCTAGAAATCGAGCAACCCGTAAACTCAGTCCCACAACCTGAGGAATGGGGGCGTGAGCCACGAGGGATCATGTGAGGCTACCCCTACAGGGATGGAAGAAATGCAGTGGAGGTGGAGTTTCTGAATCTGGGGCTCCCCCAGGCCCTGGGCAGACATGGGTGCCTCATCAGCTCTGTCAGTCCGTCTCATGGCCAGCGCATGACTGGAGTAGGTGCTTTCTTTTTCCTTAGATCCTTCCTCTTCCCTCCGCCTTCTCCTCCCTCCTCTCCCTCCCTCTCTTGCTGCACACCTGTGTCCCTGCTGCTTGCCTGACACACATCACCTATATTTTGGCCACTGTCTTTTATTTTTGCGACGGAGTTTCGCTCTTGTTACCCAGGCTGGATACCCAGGCGTGATCTCGGCTCACCGCAACCTCTGCCTCCTGGGTTCAGACAATTCTGCCTCAGCCTCCTGAGTAGCTGGTATTACAGGCACGCGCCACCGTGCCCAGCTAATTTTTGTATTTTTAGTAGAGACGGGGTTTCACCATGTTGACCAGGATGGTCTCGATCTCTTGACCTCGTGATCTGCCCGCCTCAGCCTCCCAAAGTGCTGGGATTACAGGCTTGAGCCACTGCGCCCGGCCATGGCCACCGTCTTGAATGGAGGAGCAACCTCCCTTGAGGGAGTGTGTCCTGGGCTGTCCACCTCCTACTGACAGGACATAAGGTCACTCCCACACCCCTAAGAGTTCTCTGTGAGCTCAATGGAGCCCTCACCTCTCCCACAGAGACTCCTGAGAGTCCCAGGTGGCCTGTCTACTGGCTGGGTCCCAGGTGGCAGCCTCAAGAAGTCTCCAGGGCAAAGGGTATTGCATGGGCTGAGGACCAGGAGAGGGACTCCTGGGGTTGAGGGTGGGGACCCAGCAGGCCCCAAGGAGCGTGTGGGGAAGACGAGACCAAAGTCAGCACTTAATTAACCCAGAGTGTCCCCTGGGTGGGGGTGGGGAGGGACCACACCCCAAATCTCTACAACTCTTCTCACAGCATTGCCGTGGAGTGAGAACGGGGCTTTCACCGTCATAGGGGGCTCTGTCCACCAAGGCCCCTGACTGCCGGGGAGCCCACACCCACAGTGCCCTTCTTTCTGAATGCTGGCCCTTCCACAGCCTGGATCCTTGAGCCTGGGCAGAGGGACAATGACCCCTGGACTGTCTTCACAAGCAGAGAGGCTACTTGTCACCAGGCCCTGACTCTTCGGGCTGAGCTCAGCAGCAGGCCTCTCTCTCACCAAGACCCCCTGGACAGAAGGGGCTCAGCCCTGAGGACCCAGCACTCCCCACACTTGCATGTCCCTGCTGGGCATCCACCCTGGGGACCCACTTTCCCCCTGCCCCCAGCTGCTGGCAGCCCCATCTTGACTTGTCTGGGATCCCTGAGGCCACACCAGGAAGCAGCCGGCAGCTGGGAGGCACACCTGCTGTTTCTGCATCTTTTTTTCTGGAGCTTATGTGGGTGGGAGGGGCTACAGACGCCAGGGATCCTGCAGGCCACGCCTCCCACTCCCTGGCTGAATGAGCTTTCTTCTCAGGGGTCTGACTGGAAGGCAGGGACCGACCTGTCACAGAGGCAGGTCTGAGTAGTCCAGGCCCGTTCCTACTCTCCAGCAGGGCCCCTTCTGTTCATTTGTGCAGCTGCCTTTGCCCAAAGCACCAGTGAAGTCTGCGCGGACTGTCCTTTGTTTCCAAGGGGAGTGTGGCTCCAGTCCTGGCCTGGAACTCAGATGCCTTAGAATTAGAGGCCACATCTGGCAGGGTGGAGTAGCGTGGCCTGCCCATGGCCAGGGCAGGTACCACGTTGGCAGCCCCAGACCTGACACCACGGCTCCCGTGTCCCCTCTCCACTTCCGTCCAGCACATCACTTACACTACGTCTGCCCCTGATGAATCCGGACTGTCAGCTTCCCCAGCTTAGCCTGGAAGTCCCACTGACCCTAAGGAGAACGGTGCCTCCTGAGCTGGGGGCTACGTGGGAATGGGCCTGGGGTGGGGTGGGGGAGGTCAGGGTGAGACAGGTGTCCAGCACCTCTCTGTTTATCTTCCCTTCTCTTTTGCCCACAAAAGAGGCATCTTCTCCATAACCCTCTGCCACCCCGAGGACATAAAATATTTCCCCCGTTATGTCTTCCCTTGGACACGGCCCACCTGCCTTCCTGTGGGACTCAGGGCTTTGTTTTGTCCTGTGGCCCACATGAGAAGCAATTATCCCTACTCTGCTCAGCTGAGAGAGTTAAACTGAGGCAGAGCAGGGGAACAACTCTGTCGTAGTCTGGATGTTAACAGCAGAGGCAAGAGCAGCCTTTCCTCGAGTGGTCGGGTCCGGTGGACACCAAGCGTGGAGGCTGTATCAGTCGGTTTTGCGTTGCTCCAGAGGAATACCTGAGACTAGATCATTCATTTCTCTTTTTCAAGGTTTGGTAGGGCCACTAGGCTGAGGGTTGGAGCCCCGTCTCCTAGTCCCAGCCTGGGTCTCCATCACTGGCTGGCCGGCTCTGCTTGCTGCGTTCTCTCCACACCTGCCTCCTGCAGCCCAGGGGTCAGTCTGGGTGCAGACCTGGGAAAGGTCCAGGAGCAGATTCTGCCCCCCAGCTCTTACCTCCTGTGCACCAAGGCAGCCAAAATACAGCAGCAGAACCAGGAGCGCTGGCTTGTCCCAGTATCCCAGTGTTTTGGGAGGCTGAGGTGGAAACATCACTTGAGAGCAGCCTGGACAACATAGCAAGACCCTGTCTCTACAGATAATAAAATTGGGCATGGTGGCATGCACCTGTAGTCCCAGCTACTCAGGAGGCTGAGGTGGGAGGACTGCATGAACCCAGGAGGTCAAGGCTGCAGTGAGCTATGACTGCACCACTGCACTCCAGCCCGGGCAACAGAGCAAGACCCTGTCTCTAAAACAAGAAACAAAGTGCATTGTGTGTGGAATCCAGCTTCTGGCGTGTGGACCTGACCTCACTCGGTCCCATCAGTGAGTGGGAGGCTGCCTGCTGTCTCCCAGAACATTCCCACCACTACACCTGTGTTTCTCCTGTGTTCCCTGGCAGGCTTTGTGAGGGGGCCTGTTACCTACCCTCTGGCTTCCCTAAGGCACAGCTCAAACCTTTCTTGCCACTGAGAACCTTCTCGTGAAGAGTCTTACCCTCACCCACAGGCCTCCTCATTTCAGAGCTTTTGGTGGGGTGAGTACCAGGATTGACTCACTGCTACCAGCTGGGAGGAATTGTCCCTAGGGTTGGGTCTCTGGATGGCATGTGAGGATCTAGACGAGGACCCAGATGCCTGTAACCTGAAGGGCAAGGGCCTCGGCTGCCAGGGCTTCACACAGCCCCTCGTCCAGCCTGACCTTCTGGGACAGGCCAGACCCCTCCATCCTTTGGTCTTGGTCCCTACTGGGAACCCTGGTTTCCCTGGATTACCCACTTTGACTCCAAAGGTAATAATGCCGACATCCCCCGTGAGACCGTGACAGACTGAGACTATCGTAGGGTTGCCTGGCTCAGAGTCACCATAGCCAGGCAGAGCTGAGGTCCTGGCCCTGTTCAAGACTTTCCCAAATCCCTTCTAGCTCTGGTACCTGGGTTCTTCCTCACCCAGCTGCAGCTTCTCCCACCCCTTCCACCAGGTGACAGAGAACCTGGCAGTCTGTGAGCCATAGAAGGCTTCAGTTTCCTTCTGGTGAGGGATGAGAACCAGCTTAGGGCGGGAGGGAAGAGGGGTCTGGGGGCCCTCCCAGCCCTGCCTCTGGCATTTGAAGGATGGTGGCTGGGCAGCAGCATGGTTTAGGCTAGACAAGGCGGCCCCTAGGTTTATAGCCAGGCCTCAGACAGTTGCTGCCATGTCACCTTCGCTTCTGCACATGCTGACCTGGCATCCCACCTAGTTAAAGGTCCTCAGGCCTCCCGCCCCTGGGCATTTCCCCCACTCCCAGCCCAGGCACAGCTGTCCTTGTCCTGGACTCATCTTCAGAGATGCTTGTCCAGCACACAGCTTTGCTGGATGTCGCAGGCTGGGCCGGGCCCCCTTCCCTGCACTAACCTCTTCGTGAGTCTCAACTAGACTGAGCCGCAGCTTCAGGGTCAGGACAGGCTCTGACCTAATTGATGTGACCCAGGACAAGGGGGTTACATCTGCTTGAGTTCTTGGCCTCTATGGTCTCTTTGGGGCATGATGCCCCTCTGTCCCATGCTTAGGTGCCCACATGTGGCCACAAGTGCCTTTCCTTCCAACATCCGTACTTCAGGCTGCTGCCCAGGCACCGGTGGCTCCAGGCAGAAGCGTGAGTGCAGAGCCAGGCCTGGGCTGACGTTCCGCAGGTGCTGCAGGAGCTGGCAGCCTTGGCCACGCAGCCCATGGCCATCCATTCCCCTACACTGTGGCTGCCCCCAGTCCACCATCCTTCCAGGGCCAGGCCTGGAACCAAACTGACTTCTCTCTGGACCTGACAGGTTCTTGGCTGAGCATGATGGTCTTGCCCATTTCTTTGATTATCCTCAACAAGAGGTTTATAGAGCCATTGGGAACATCACATCTGTCTACCACGTCCTCACCAGAGACATGACTGCCTTGGGCCAGGCCTGGGACAGTCAGAAGTTACACTTGCCTGTTGAAACCCAGATTCATTGGCTTCAATCTAGGCAATGGGCTGATGGGCAGCTGTCACTTCTCCTTTGCTTGGGGGAGGTAGGAGAGGAAGGTCAGGCAGGAGATCTGCTTGGCACCCACCTGTGCCTGTCTCACCTGGCTGCAGGTGCATTGGAGACTGAACCCCTTTCTTGATCTGCAGGTGTGGATTTCAGGTTTCCAATGGTTGTCAGGGTGTGCTCCAGTGCTCTCCTGGCCCTAGGGAACCCTGGGCTCCATGAGACCTTGGCCTAGGCAGGATTGTTTCCCACACTGTCATCTCCCCATACAGTCACCTCCCCAAACACTGGGCTCCAGGCTCTGGTATATGTAAAAGTTCAAAGGCAAAAGTCAGCCCTTCCGCTCTTCCGGAGTGGGTGGCCCCACCCCTCTCAGAGTGGGCGGGGACAGGAGTTGCAGGGGCAGCTTTCCTTGGGATGCCACAGGTCTCTCTGGAGCTGCCTAGCCACGCCTCCTTTCCTTTCATCTTTCTCATGACCAATGGGATTGGAGCATGAAGGCCACGCCCCTGTTCTACATTCTAGTGTGGCCCTGGTTACGCCTCCTCTGTCTCAGACACACAGCTGCCTGGTAGAGGAGTGGAGCTGCTTACCAGTGCTCCTTTGAATTGTGCTGATGTGGCCCCAACCCCACCTCCCTCCCCAACCCCACCTCCCTCCCCCACCCACCATGTCGATGTCAGAAGAAATTCGCAAGATGATAGCCTCGGCTAGGAAAAAGGTAACATGCACACAGATCCCCTCCAACAGCAAGACCGCTGCCACAGTCCATAACACTTCTGAGACACACCAGACTGGGTGGGCCCCTAACCCTGCTGCCTCTGGGCTCCCCCTACCAACGTCTTGTCAGTCAGCCCCACCCCTTCAGCAAGGAGCCCAGCCCCTACCCTTGCCAATCACCCCAGGGTGACTTTGGATGTGTAACTCCTGAGGCTCCCCGCTCCCTACTTGGACCTCACCTTTTCCTGCCCCAAGCCTGACCTCCCTGGGCTCTGTGGGCTCGCGTCTCTAAGGACCTGGGTCTCCCAGCCCCCGCCCTCACCAGTCATTTCTGGGTGACTTTGGGCTGGTGACTCCTGGGAATCCCTGCTGCAGACTCTGCCCTCCCCTCCTCCTCCCCCAGGGTGGCCTCCCTGTGCTCTTTGGGCTGGCATCTCCAAGGACCTGGGTCCCAACCCTGCATCCCCCTCCCCCATCATGGAGCAGTGACTCAGGCATCTCGTGGGTGTAGTCCCCTCCCCCAGGAGGAGTGAGATGTAGTGATGTCACAGTCCTTCTAGGAACCATCATTCCTGCTACAAGACCAGCCTTTGATCTTACCGCCCAGTCCCCTAAGCATTCTCATAGCATTTCTGGCTCCTCTGGTCCCAGCACACATTTCCAGCTGGTTGGGGAATGTGGACTATGGGACCTAGGAGCGAGAGGTTTCAGGCTGCCCACTCCTTTAACATAGACCTTGACAGTGTGAAAAGCCTACACTTCCCACGTGAGCTCAAAACATTGACAGTGTCTCTGGGTGGCAATGGGAGAATGGGTTTGGTTTGGTTTTCTCTCAGGCTTCTACTCTCCAGAGAGACTTTGACGTTACTTTCTGAGTTCTCCAGCTCATCTTCAAATTCTCCATGGTTTTGGGACCAGACTGCCCTTCAGTCACTGGCCTCTGGAGTGAGATTTGCTCATCCTCTGTGGAACAGATCTTGGGAAATTGAAACTGACAGCTTGAATCTTCCTCAAATCATTGCAACTCAGGCTACTTTGAATGCCACGGGATAAACATGGGACATCTTTCTGAAGCATCAGTTTCCCTTGAGTCTCTAGAGAGAGCAAAAGCATTAATGTACTTAGGGATGACAGTCACATAGGTTTCTAAGAGTATACCAGACCTCTCTCAATAAGACTTGGGTTGTCCTCCTTCTGATGAATTCCCAGATTTAACAAAAAGGCTGCCTTCTGCCATGAGGACACATTGATATAAAAGTGTGAGAGGTACTGGTGCTCTTTTTTTCTTTCTGAGATGGAGTTTCACTGTTGTTACCCAGACTGGAGTGCAATGGCACGATCTCGGCTCACCGCAACCTCTGCCTCCTGGGTTCAAGCAATTCTCCTGCCTCAGCGTCCCGAGTATCTGGGACTACAGGCGCGCACCACCATGCCCAGCTAATTTTTGTATTTTTAGTAGAGTGGGGGTTTCACCTTGTTGACCAGGATGGTCTCGATCTCTTGACCTTGTGATCCACCCTCCCAAAGTGCTGGGATTATAGGCATGAGCCACCGCTCCCGGCCAGTGGTGCTCATGTGAGGCTTTATGATGCTAAACCACACGGCATACAGTTCCTGCCTACTTCATGTTGATTTTTCTACCTCTGCCTGTGGTTTTGGTCTCTGGCAGTTGCTGATTCGTGGCAAAACCCTAGAGCTTGGAGTCAGAGGAATGAGTTTAAGTTTTAGTATTACTTTCTCTCTTTGTTTTTTTTTTTTTTTGTCATGACATCAATCCCTCTCAGTCACTAAGTGAGTGTGACAACACAGTATAGAGTTGTTGGTGGCATTAAATCAGATGGTGTATAACAGTATTTTGTAAAAACTGTAAAGTAGGTTGTGACTGTAGGGGTTTGTAGTTCTCATGGGCGTTACTGCTCTTTTTCCCACAGTTAAAAGAATTTCAACAAAGAAACAGCCCTGCTGCTCCATCTCGAGTGAGAAGAAGAAAGAAAAGAAACAACAGTAGCCGTGAGACATCCGCTTCTGATGGTTGCCAGTCACCATGCCATGTGAGTCTTGGCTGGCCAGGCTTCTGGGGAAAAGGGGCCCAAGGGGCAGTAGAGGGTAATTGTTAAGGTTGTGGAAGAACTTCTGGGTACTGGTTAGGAATTCTGGGTTTGAATCCCGCCTCTCCATCTGCGAGGGATAGGATTTAGGGCAAGTTGCTTGAGCTTTTTGGGCCTCTCCTTTCACATCTGTGAAATAGAGGTGATATTGTCTGACTTCCATTTGTGAGGGTGAAATGAGATTCGTTATTGCTGTTGTTTTGTTAATCCCTAGTACATGGCCTGCTGTAAACACCCAGGACACCCAGGAAATGGTCCTTGCTGTTTTGTTTTCCTCACCCCCAGTCTCAAGGGGGAAGCCAGCCCAATGAGAACAGCCATTTGCTGTCAGGCTGTCCCTTTAAGAGTCACTGAAAGGGCCCCGGGGGGGGGGGGGGTGGGAGATCAGAACCATGAGAGGAGCTGGCACAAAGGAGTTATGGGACAAAGGGTCTGAGGGAGGCAGAACAGAAAATGCTGCCAGCTGATGGGAAGAAAGGAAGTCAGAGGCTTGGACACTGAGGGGGACAGAACATCTCCATGTGCACTCTCATCTCTTGTAGTCAGCAGCAGGTGGTCACAAGGAGGGCCCTGCACCGTGTGCCACCATGAAAGGTCCAGAGGTAAGAGGCCCTGAGCTGAGGTACAGTGACCCTGCAGGCCAGCCCTCCACCCTTCTCCCACAGTGGCAGCTGGGTGCCCCTCTGCCAGCCGAGACAGCCCCACACACCCCAACCGTAATGATTGTTCTCTCTACCTCTCCCTCAATCCTCCTCCAACTCCTCTCTGCATGTGCCTCAGAGCACACACCAAGTACAAATAGCCCTGGACTCGAGCTCAGTCACAACTAGTGAACTGAATAACACCATCGACTTATTGGTAAGAGTCCAGTGGGGTCCCCTGATTCCACGCTGCCAATCCTGGGCTCCAGTTTCCCCTTGGGGCTGCTGTGGGTGAATTGAAGGGCGCTATGGGGAGCCAGCACCGGACGCAGAGTTTGGAGGCCAAATGCCCGCCCTGCCCTTACTTGGCTGTGGCCTTGGCCAAGTCCTAGGTGGGGGACTGTGCACTTGGCCCTTGGACTGTGAAGGTACAGAAGAGTAGCTTTAGTATGTTACCATTTGTGTAGAGAGAGGAAACGTGTGTGTGTGTGTGTGTGTGTGTGTACATACTATGATAATATACATAAAACATGTCTGCAAGGATTTGTAAAAAACTCAGGTGAGAGCACAGGTGGCTGGGAGATACTTCCCTTCTGTACCTTCTAAGTTTTGGACTATGTGAATGTATCCTCCTTTCAAAATATGAGCAAAAGATTCATTTCCCCCTTCCCGTCTGTGCCTCCACACCCAGCAGAAAAAAAAATGGACTTAGAGAATCAGATGGACCTGGGTGTTCAAATCCCAGCTCTGTCTAAGTGATCTTAGTCAACCACCTAACCTCTAATACTCCATGTTTTCCATCTCCACAATAGAGGTAATGGTAGTAACCGCCCCTCATGGTGGTTGTGAGGTTAACTGGGATTGTTCGCACGCTACCTGGTGACGCACTCAATAAAGGTTCCAACAGCGGTAGTAACGACAGGAATAACAATAGGATATGATGTGACCTCTCTGGGCCTCTGTTAGCCAGCTGTAATTGTGGCCTCTTTCCCTGTGCCTTCCAACTTTACTGAGTTCTTTTAAAATCCAGACCACGGGATTGGACGTGACTTGATCTTTACTGACTGAGTTGTGTATTAAGCCCAGCCCTAGCCCTTTTAAGGGGCACTGTGTGGAATGGCCCAGGCTCTCCAGATTGAAGCTTCTCGCTCTTCCCCATCCAGCCCTCGAGCCGCCGTGAAGCAGTCCTTGAGCAGCAGGTACAGCAGTTTCTACAGGAGCGGGAACTGCTAAAAGCGCAGGTGGCAGAGGTGAGACTATGCAGAGGGAGGGATGTGGAAGGAAGATGAGCCCAGGTGGCCAGGAGCAGGTGAGGACAGTGACAGCCCTTCCTAACTTCTGGGTCCATTCCTGCAGGTGACGGAGTGTCTTAAGAAAGCTCAGCTAGAAAGAGACGCTTACGCTCAACAACTCAAAACACAGAAGGTGCAGTGGCAGCAGAAAATCCTCACAATGGCAGGAGAAGTGAGAGCTGACCCTTCAGCCCCCACCTTAGATAGGTCACTGGATCTTTCTGGGCATCTGTAAAATGAGACTAGTCCAGCCAGGGGTGGTCACAGGACTGGGCTGTGTGTAGCTGGGGGCGGAGAGGGAGATGGTAGCCTGTCCAGCCACCAGCCCTTCTCCAGGGCCCTTTCCCGCTGTTCTTTGGGCAGATTGAAATATTCAAAATGGAGAAAAGTCAAGATGCAATGAAAATCGAGAAGCTGAAGGGGAGCCTTGCCCACCTACAAAACCTTCTGGGTAAGATGGGGCTGGCGTGACCCGGGAGCAGGACTGGCATCAGAGGGCTGTGGGGGTGGCTTAGAGTGCCCCAGGGAGGTGGGTGGCTGGAAGGGCTTTGAGGCAGAGGGAGAGAGGTCTGTGCTGGGAGATGGCATGTCTTGTCATCTCCATGGGCCTCAGTGTCCCCATCAGAAAGAGGGAGGGTGCCCGTTGTCAGCCACCCACAGTGCTCTCTATCTGAAAGTGGCTTGGAAGACTGGCTACCATTTGGGTGTGAGGAATCATTAGCAGTGAGGCCAGGTTTGGGGAGCTTGAGAGGAGCTGTGCACCCAGAAGAGTTTTTTCTTTTTTAGAATCCAGAGGCCCTTATTGTCTGCTTCCTTTCTCAGCTGAACCCCCGATCCCGAAGCACCCACAGGGCCCTCTGACTTGGAAAGAAAACCTAAAAACTGAAACCAAGTACCTGAGAGATGAGCCACGGGAACAGGAGAGACTGCAGGAGGCAAAAATGAGGCTCTGGGAGACGGAGGTGAGGCTGAGAGAACAGGAGAGGCTTCTTGAGCAGGAGGGGCTCCAGGAGCAAGAGGAGGAGCTGGTGTGTTGCCCACCTGGGGAGCCTGCCCTCCTCCCCAGCCCTCCAGTCCTTTGTTTTCCCACCTGTAAAATGTGAGAGTGTAGCCCTCCCATGAAATGGGCTTTCTAAAGGCACCTGGGAGCCAGAACCCTGCTCTGATGGCTGTGGGAGAAAGGAGACAATTTTTCTAACCTGCCTCCACCCTTCCTGGTGCCATGGGAGGCAGACACCAGTCTGGACATCATCATTCCAGCTCGAGGCATGGAGCCCCCTAGTCATAGGGCAAGAGACAGTGGTGTGAGAGACTCTTTATGCTGGGTGTGGTGGCTCACACCTGTAGTCCCATCACTTTGGGAGGCTGAGGCAGGGTTTGAGATCAGCCTGGCCAACATGGCGAAACCTCATCTCTACTAAAATTACAACAACCACAAAACAGCAAAGCTGGATGTGATGGTGCACACCAGTAATCCCAGCTACTCAGGGGGCTGAGGCATGAGCATCGCTTGAGCCAGGGAGGTGGAGGTTGTGGTGAACTGAGTTTGCACCACGACTCTCCAGCCTGGGCCACAGAGTGACACTCTGTCACAAAACAACACTAAAGTCTCCTTAGATCCAAACTGGATTCCGACCTTGATTCCACTGGTCACCATTCAACTGCTTTGCATCTCTAAGTCTCTGTTTCTTTACCTTCCAAAGGAAGTTAGCATTTTCCTTGCGTGGGTGCTGAGGAATAAATGAGATGATTCGTAGAAAGCGTTAGGCATGTAGCACACTTGGCAGATGGTGATTGGCTCCCTCTGCTTTTCAGCAGTCTGTGGCCTACAGTTTAAATGGTGGAAAGGAGGATGTGAGATTTGAGGCTGTGGAAGGAGACACGGGGTTCTAGGCAAGGGAGGCAGTCTCTTGGGCTGGAGCCAGGGGCCAGGCGTGTGGGCAGGCCACCTTCCTCTGTGGTCCCTCCCAGACCCCCTTATGCTCTTGGTTTCCCTGCCTTCTGATTCTTCTGGATTCTCATCCCTTCCGGGAGCCGGTGGTCAGACACCTTCGTGACTGACAGGTGCACCCTCTGAGGCCCCAAGGGAAGGGGCTGTGCTCCACCTCCCTGCCTCATTTGTCCTGTGTATGCCTCTACAAGAACCCTCACCTCTTGCCTTCAGGTGCCATTTCTGAACGCTGCTAAAGCCAGTGCCCAGGAGGAGCAGGCACGGCTCTGTGAGCAGCTCCAGAAACAACAGGTGTGCTGCCAGCACCAGGCTCAGCTGGGGGCCTCGGCCCTGAAGGAGCCAGAGGCAGCGGCCGCAGCCACAGGGACTGGGAGCGAGTCTGGGTGTGGGGAGACCCAGCGGGCCCTGCAGGGAGCTCTCGACCAGCTGCAGGTGAGTGAGTCCTGGCAGGGGCCGAGAAGGGTGGGGAAGGGGGCAGGTTGCTCCCAAGATGTGACCCCATTATTTCGGCTCCAGAGAGACTTCATGGACATTTTGAAGGAGAATTCATACCTGAAGGAGCGGGTGGAAAAACTAGAGCTCGGATTCATTCAGCTCTCTGGAGAGAGAGACATGATAAGTGAGCAGGAGGCCAGGCAGGGCAGGGGGAGCTGCAGGGTGGTGGGAGGGGCCCCAGTGTCTGAGCCTGTCCTCCCACAGGAAAGTCCATCAAACCAAATGACCGTCAGAGGGCAGTGGCCAAAACCCAGCACCAGAAGAACGATGTTAGCATGCTGTCGCAGGCCGAGGAGGGGATGAAGGTAAGGTGTACAGCATCTCTGCAGGGGTGAGGGGGATAAGGGTGGGCGTGAGCATGGGTGCCGGCACCGGCATGGCAGCTGAGCACCCGTATCTCCAGGTAAAGCTGCTGGAGCTGCAGGGGCCAGTGATGCAGCTTATGATCAACCATGAGGTCGTCCAGCACCCTGCTAATGAGCCCACTCCAGGGGCCCCAGCCCCCCAGGAGCCTGGTGCTGCTGACAAGGATGGTGAGTAGAGCCCTCAGGCGGGGTGGGCAGGCAGGAGCAGGGGAGGCTGGCACTGCACTCATATCCCTGCCTCCCTCTCTCCAAAGAACTTTGTGAAGTGATCCTCGCTGACAGCCTGCAGCCTGCAGGAGGGGGGGATACACCAGAACCCCACTGCACAGCAGATGGCACATGGCTTTGTGAGCTGCAGGACAGCCAGCAACACCGACCCTTGGGCAGCAGTCCCTCCACGCCATGCTTTTACCAGGCTGTGGGCGAAGGAGCGGGTAAACATCACGATCAGCTAAGAGCTGGCCCAGAAGTTTACAAACAAACAAAGTTATAGGTTTAGTCTTCACGTTTACTTCATTTGAATGTTAGAGCCACTTGGGATGATTTGTGTTTCTAATCTATAGTTTATTTGTAAAAAGTTAAAGGAGAGTGGGTCTTCCTGTAGCTTTCACTGATGTTCACTTTGGCATTTTTTAGAATTTTTCATTTTTAATTTGATAATCGTAGGTCATTAGCATGCCTATCGAGTTTGCCCTTACGTGGTGGGAGTTCAAACACACAAAGACCCACTATTGGCACAAAACTATTCTCGCTAGTTTGGAATAGGCTGCCATGGTTATTTAATGTTATTGCAGCATGTGTATTCATTATGGAATTCAGATACAATTGGCTTATGTTCTGCTATGATATTTGATCAAATCCTATTTACAGTGAGCTCTTAATTAGCTCAATATGTGCTTTGCCCTCACGTGCACACTGTTTATTACTTTGTAAGGTGCTACTGTGAGTACTGACATTTAGAGTTGTTGAAAGGCCGAGAACTGGAAACAGCCTTTCTTCCATGTTCTGTGTATTGCAAATGGGAGTAATAACATTTTGGGGAGCTTTTAAAATCTCACAGAAGAGGAAAGCGGCCTGCTCTGGCTGGTATGTGCAGAATAGAGTAGTTCATTGGTTCCCGTGCCAAGAATGAGCGCTGCGCTATGGTAGTTCTTTTAGGGTTTTTCTGTGCTCTGGGCTCATGAAGACACAGCATGATGAGCTGCAGCAGCTGTACTCTTTTTTATGACCTATAAAGAGATGATTTCTGAGGAATAAAAGGCTCCCATCTTTGATGGTGGATGTGGAAAACCTTTCCTAGCTTAGAGCATTTACATCTATAATACATTGTAAAGTCAGAGCTCATGTTACCTGTTTTAATCCCCTGACTCTAAGTCTCAGTACACAAAAGGGCACTGGTTGGCATTCTTCTTAATGTATTTAGTAAAGGTCATAAGAAATCCTTTAAGATAAAGTGTAATTTATATATATATACATATATATTATATACAGGAATGGAAATTTGTATCTTAGAATGGATAGGCACTAAATATTGATGACTGAACAGTTAATGTTTTAGGACACTTGGTATAGTGAGTGCCTTGCACACAGAAAAAGACCACGGATGAGATTATCCTTTGTATCATTTCACAGTTTTAAAAATTGCTATTGATTACAGTTCACATAGCAAGTTGCTGATAAAATGTCTGTTTTCATAAAACATCTCCAACAACAACAAAATCCTTTCAGAGTTTAAATGTCCAGAAAAAAAATAAAAATTTGAATAAAAAATTTTAAAAAGTTTAAATGTCCCTGGAACAGGCACACAGGGTGTAGTCAAGAATGAACTAGAGTGCAGGAAAGCCGTGTGACACCTGGCGTCCCTCTGTGTTCACGGAGCTTCTTTGAGGCGAGATTGACTTGACCGTCCAGACTTCTCTGGCTAATACCTATTCTTCAACCACCTTGGTTACTCTGACATAGGAATTGCCTTGTTTTTCTTCAACGAAAAGGACTTTAAACAATAATCACAAACATTATTATAAACTAATATATGTGAGAGTACTTGGCTGAAAAAAAAGGAGTTTCAGTAGACAGAATTGTACTATATTTGACAATCAAAGAGAAGTTTATGCAACGTAAAATGTTTATAGCCTGCAGTGCCATCTACTGTTTGTGAATGTCAATGTATTATCAGGAAAAGTGTCTAACAATCACAGAGTTCTATTTCCTCAGCAAGTTCTTTACCAAGAGAGAAATATGTTTTTATACCTTTCAGTTTCAGTTAGAGGCACATTTTGTGCAAGATTTATGTTAATGTGTCTCTACATTATGAATGAATTCTTTCAGTCAGACATTGCATAAATCATAACTTTATGATGCTTGGGACAGAATCAACAGTTGAAACTTCATGAAGTTCTAATGTCCGTCTACCAAAATACCTCCCATTGTTAGGATGGAGGGAGATATGCATGTGTGCTACCTGAAGGGGAGATTCCTAGTTACTGACCGTCTCCAGGTTTAGCATTTGGCATCCTCATGATACTTTCATAAATATGACATTAATAGGAGAGCACTCATACAATTTGACAGATGGAATAACACATTTGCCTGCATTCCCTGAAAGAGTACAAATATTGGGTCCTGGTGATTTGAACTGACTCTTCCAAATTGTAGGGATTTATCAATGTATCAGATAAACCCAGTTTCAGAACGATCAAGGAAAACTGTTAGACCAAATAATGCGGCTAATTAACAGTGGTATGATTTCTAGCCTGGGGGTTTAAAATGGACTTAAAGTTCTGTTTTGTGTTTTATTTCTGAACTTGCCGCTTTTGCATTCTTTGAGTTCAGTTTAAAGATAGTTACTGTAAGTCCATTTTCAACCCTCGGGCTAGAAATCGTACCCCTGTTAATCAGCCACATTATTTGGTCTAACAGTTTTTCTTAATCATTCTGAAACTGGGTTTATCTAATACATTGATAAATTATTTCAAAGGGATTTTGATAGTTCAAATCACTTCACTTTTACCCTAAGAAATACAAATGACTAGGAATGACCTTCAGATAGTGTTTAGCATCTGTACCCAATCTGATGATAATGTGTTCATCAGGTACCTGTGGAGTAAATCCCATACAGGCATGTTTAAGCTGAATGGCAGTCAGGAAAATACATTTACTATATTAACCGAAATATCACTCTGAGTAGGCATTTTGTCATCTATTTAAGACAAATCTAAAAGAACGGAAATCACATGACAGTGACTTAAGTCTTTCTTCAAAGTGCACGTGAGTCTCCTGCAGTACTTCATTCAGCCAAGTGTCTGTTCTCTTCCTCATTCAGTAGAAGGCAGCTTTCAATTGGCTTAGAAGGCAACATCAGAAGGTTAGCGTTCATCAAAAACACAGAATTTTAAAATGTGTCTTCAACTGACCAAATTTGAATTTCTGTAGGAAAAATCAAAATACCTGTTTAAAGATTGCAATATATGATAATCATTTTTAAAGGATTTTATTAAACCTGATAGGTTTTCCAGAAATGAATAAAACTCAGTTCTAAAACCAAAGCTGCTTTTTAGAAAATTTGAAAATGTAAATCAGTCCTATCCTGTTCACAATATAGTTTCTCTAAAACTTTATCTTAAAGAGTATTTAAAAATAGCTATTTAAAAAAACTGCTCTCTTAATGTTTTGAAATTACTTAAAACATTAAAAAATATGAATATTGCAGTTTAGAAGAAATAGGGGGAAGGAAAAGTGAAGAAATGCCAATTCCAGTCCAAAGCTTTATTTGCCAAGTTTTCTAAGAATGACTTTTACCACTGTATGAACTCCTGTGAACAGAATGTAAGATGGAAATCCTGAGGCTTTTGTCTAAAGTGGCAATACTGACTGCTGCTGTGATGCTCCTGTGATGTAATAAATTATTCAGTTGCTGCAAAGCGCTGTTTCTGCCTTAAAATTTTGTGCGTCTTGACAGCTATGGTATTAAAGGTATTGAGACTGCAAACGCTGGGCACACTTGGCATGAGATAATCTGTTTTTATTTTTACAAAATTGTAATATAACTATGCAAGTGTGTTTATTAAAAGAACACAAACTAATAAAATTTATGGGATTAAAAGTTATGGGATAAAAAAGTCATTAGATAAAAAATGGAAAAGTTGTGGCAAAAAGCATTGTGGATAAAAAGTAGAAAAATTTTATGAAAAGTTATAAATGTTATGAAAAGGAAGTTATGAGATTTTCTTTTTAAGTCATGGGATAAAAATAAAAATAAATAACAGCAGGCTTCTGTCAGCAAGGCCTGGAGAAGGGGGAACTGGAGTCTCTACCCCCACCATGTGCCACCCCTTCCCAGTCACCCCTTTATTGTTAAGGCAGCAAGACCCCTGTCTAATGGGGAAAGACAGACCTTTTGCCAGCTTGACCAGGGCTGAGTCCTTAAATTTCTGGATGATGATGGTTGTTATTTAGGAGCCAGAGGCTGCTGGAGTTGGTTGGTTTGGAGGAGGCCTGATGGCCTCCTTTCTCTCACCAAAGCAACTTTTCCCTCAGGGGGCTCCCATCTTATTCAGAGAGGCAGCTGAGGCAGGACAGTGGTGCTAACTGTGGACCAGGTGAGGGCATGGGCTGCTGCGGTGACCCCCTTCCCCAGTGTAGGTATTATATCTGTGTAACATTTTGTATATTTTAGGGGTTTGGGGTGCCCCCTGTATCGTACCTGGCAGAGGTTGGAGCTGGCACATGGGGAGGAGGTTCAAATAATTATTTGCAGTTGGGAAACTTGTTTATTGATAGCAGAGGACAGTATTTTGCTTTTTATTTTGGAATAAATGGATTTAGTCACACTGCTCGGCCTGGTGTATTCCCATTTCCCTCACTGGGTCCTGGAGTTTGTGCCACTGAATGAGGAGCCCCAGTGTCTGAGCATGTCCAGCTGGGCTGTTGGGGACCTTCCAGGCCTGTTACCTGTGTGCTGCCTGGTGACACCTGGAGGATTTCACGGGGACTGCCATGGCACTTCCGGCCCTGACAGCCAGCAGGCTCGGAAGCCTGATCTAGGGGTGGCTGGGAAGGCAGGTACCAGCACCCAAGGGCACTGACTTCAATCCACCCTAAGCATCTTTCTTCCATCCCCCTGCCTCCCTCTCCTGTCTGCACCTGGTGGCCTGTTCTGTCTCTCTCTCTAAAGTACCAGCTGCCAGGCAGGTTCCCTCTAGGCTGAGTTCATGGCCCTGCCCCCTAGTGGCCAGAGCCAGCTTCACAGGATAAGACCAGCTAAGCCCCAGGGCCTTTCCAGGAACAGTGTCCCTTGGAAAGGGTGGGGCCTTTTCACCGCTCCCAACAGCACCCCAGAAATGGTCTGCCCTTTCCCCTCCCCTGAGCTCCACAGAGAACACAGTCCACAGAGGACACATTCCCCGTCATCTAGAAATGGGTTTGACTCTCAGCCGAGGGACAGCAGGACTGATAGAGACTGTCAGACCACAGGGCTGCCTGCACAGCACCCCCATGCTTGGCGGGGGCTGGAGGGATGGAGGGGCTTGGGTGCCCACACGCCGGGCATAACAGGGAGGCTCACTGGAGGTGGCGCACTTTGGAGGGGCAGTGTCAGGGGACAACTTTCTCTTGTTGGACCACAAGACTCCACAAGGACAGCCCGGTGACTGACTCCCAGTGCCAGAGGCGAGGTGGTCGGCCACGTGTAGGTGTGTACATATATGTGAGTATTTCTAGATATTTCTAGAACAGGGCAGGGGCGTGCCACAGAGGGGGACGGTCACATCTGGATGTGTCAGCTCACCACTACAACAGACTAAGTCACAGATGAAGGGGGCTGGCTTTGTGGCTGGTGAGTCACAGAACAGCCGCCCAGGCAGGCTTGGAAAGGGAGGTCTCTGACAGGAGGGGGGATCTGTGTAGAGGTCGAAGGGGGACCTGGGGCTCTCAGGATGGGATGGACTTCCCTGACCCAATCGGTTGGCAGTTGCAGATAAAGCAGAGAGGAAACGGGAGAGAGAAAAGCGAGGAGAGAGCTGGTGAGATAAGCACAGAGCAGGGGCGCTGCAGCAGCTGGGGGAGGGCTGGGCAGGGGAGGGCACAGGTGCAGGTGTGGCAAGGTTCCTGGAAAGGGGCTGGAAGGGAAAGGGAAGGAAGAAGGAGGAAGGAGCCAGAGCTTCACAGGTAGTGCCCGGGGGCTGAGGCAGCCCTCCCCACCCAAACACGCTGGCCTCTCCCACGGCACCCAGGCAGTGCACCCATAGTTCAGACCCATGTTGACCACTCTCGGACTGCCCTCTACCCTGGTCACCCTGACTTCCAATCCACTGGCCCAGGGCCACCCCTCATGTTGGGGAGCCCCACACAACAGCCACCAGGCCTGATAGAGAAGGAACACTGCCTGAACCAGGAGGGCAAAGCTAAAAGAGCTGGATGGCTCGAGGGAGTGCCCAAGGCCCCTTTTGTCGGGGTCCGGCACGTCTGCCAGGGGACTACTGACCTGCAGGAGTCCCCAAGACCGCCAACGTAGATGTCTCCTTCAACCTGAGGGAGAGAGTGCGCGGAAGTGAAACAAAATAGAAAAGCGGAGTCTGGAGGGCTGGCTTAGGCTACGTCCAAGCAGCAATTTTATTTTTGCAATATGTTTCCTTATATACTTTCCTGAAGTCAAAGTTGTTTACACCAGATCAAGGTACTTAAGTTACAGTAAGCAAGTTATGCCCACTAAGTTACGCCCAGTAAGTAAGTTGATCCCATTAAGTAGGTTACGCCCAATAAAGTAGGTTACTTTCAGTAATTAGGTTACGCCCAATAGATCAATGTGAGTAAGTTACAGTCACGCCCAGTAAGCTATGGGAAGTAAGTTACAGTTACACCCAGTAAGTTACGGTAAGTAAGTTACCAAGTGTAAATACTTAAGTTAATATTTTACAATGAAGGTAACAAGGGTCCAAAATGAACACAAGCAATAAACCATAAGAAGCCGAAAGTGGACACATTGCCTCCCAAGTCCTCATATCCATAAAGTAATGTCTGTTAATTATTTAGAATAACACAGTCCCTCTCTCGGTTCCTGCTTTCCCTCAGCTCGACTCCCCCAACCAGGGATCTGTGTCTGGGCTCAAGCTCACCGTATTGTGAGGCCCATTTCCCAGGGGCCTCACACGGGAGCGATCCCCACAGATTCCCTCACCCTTTGAGTGGTCAGAAAGCCCAGGACCCTCTGAAGGGACCCTGGGGGAGGTGGGGAGGGCAGGCAGCTGGATGCCAGTGGCCACAGACTTATAAGTCTAAGTGGGGACCCTCAGCTGGTCGGTGAGGGGGCGGGGGTTGCAGGTCACAAAGTTGAGGCTGGGCCCTTCCTGCAGGGAAAAGCAGAAGAGGGAGAGTCTGTGGCAGGGGAGGCGGGTTAGCTCTCTGGACAGAGCTCAGCTGGGCCAGCAGCCACTGTGGTCCCTTGGCTGAGTAGGGGATAAGAGCAACAGGCCAAGGTGCATGAGCCTGCTGGCTGGCGGTAGTGTTTCAGAGGGTCAGAGGGGGCCAGGGATCCTGTCTTCAGTCACATGACAGCATCTACAAGGGACCTGGGAGGGAGGGGAGGGGGCCGTGTGTCCTGCCTGACCTGTGAGGTGTGTGCTAGGATGATCATGTGTATGGGACTCTCAAGCTTTTACCTAGATCACCACTTGATTGCCGACAGACAAAGGAGGTGAGACCCTATCACCCTGGCTCTGCAGTGGATTGGCTCTTGGCATTCCCAGGCTGGGAGCTGGATGACCTGCCTGGCAGCATGACTCACACTGCAGGACAGACACAGCGGGCCCAGGATGACGTTCCTAGGCCTCTGGCTCCGAGTCCAGCCCCACACACAACCCCTCCAAGCTCGCAGCCCTACACCATAAAGGACCCACTGTGTCAGCTTGGGCATAGAGCCTGTTCCACGAGCCCTAGGCTCAGCCATGGAGGCCTTGGGGCTCCCAGGGAAGAGAGGACAGCAGCACAAGGACAGAAAGCTGGAAGAGCAAGTCTGCAGCTCCAGAAGGGTGGGGCAAGGAGCCTGGCTCTGAGGTCCCAGGTGTGCCCCGTGTGGAGCTGGCACAGCAGGGTGGGCACACCGTTCATGCAGCAGGGTGGGCGAGGCATGTACCTACCATGGCTGAGGCTCCTCAGGGTCACTGAGAGTGATTCAGAAAGACAGCATAAAACCAACATGGCAGCTCACAAGCATGGCTGTGGCAGGCTTGAGGGTGGGGGAGACACATGCACGTGTGCACACACTAACACACATGCCCACAAACAACACACACACACCTCCTTCCCCACCACCTCCCAGTGCCCAGCACCCTCACTGGCTGGCACGTGCCACACAGGTCTGGGGCTTGCAGCCACTCGGCACACTGAAGCACACTCCTGGGCAGAGTCACAACACAGATGCTCCCACACACAGAGTCACCAGCTCCCGGCACACTCATGCCTGGCGTGCTCAGAGGACAACCCGTGCTGCTCATGGAGACAGGGCTTGCTTGCTAATGTCCAACTGTCATTTCTCCACATAAGAGCCTTCCTACTGCCCACAGCACTGAGCCCCATCAAGTCAAACTCTTCAGACTTTGAAGGTTCTCCACCCTATGCCCACCCTCCCACAGAGTGCTTCCTCATTTTGTCTCTGTTCCCTGCTTTGGCCAGTGGCTGTCCTCGGTGCCCACACTACACCTCTGCCCACACTGCCCACATTGCAGCTCTTTATTCAGATACCCTCCAATTCCTCACCACATAAGCCTGTCTCAGTCATGCCCCAGACCACAGTGAAGTCAGCCTGACTTGAAGAAGCTCTCCCAGACTGCTCTTTTCCCCAAGGCAGGGCCATGAGTTGCCAAATGTCTCCTGTGTGTCAGTGAAACTGCAGTCGGAGCAGGCATCAAACCTTACCGTAGACCTGGGCACCAAATACACTGAAGAGACTGAACTCACATGGGCAGTTAGCAAAGTGCCCCTACGGCCCCATCTGCAGTTAACACCGCATCCCTGTGGCCACTGTCTCCCTTGATCCCCACAACCACCCTGGGAGAAAGGCAGAAGGTCATCATTTGATAGAAGCCATGCTGAGGCTCTGGGAGGGAAAGGGACTTGCCTAGAGGCCCAGGGTGAGGCAGCATCTCTGGACTCCCAGTGCAGTGCTCTTGCCCAGTACCATGCTGCTTGCCACTACCCGTCTACACTGGTCATCAGCAGGTCACAGGGCAAGCCCCAATCCCTGCCTCATTTTGGTTTATGGGCTCTGGACCCACAGCCCTACCCTCCAGTCATCTGGAGACAAAAACAGATGCTATGGTTCCTCCTTAGAGACTGTGGCCAGTGGAAACAGGGCACACTGGGAATCGGAGTGAATGTCCTTGAAGAGGGACATGGGTCAGCAAGGCCGAGACAAAGGATGCAGCAGAACGCTCTTCCCCAGAAATCTTTGGGAGTGAAGCAGGCTTCAGCCGCTCCCATCCCTGTCCCTGTAGCCACCCCTACCACATGGGTGTAGACCTAGTAGGGTGGGGGGTCTGGGTGGGGGTGGAGGAAAAAATCAGATTGCCTATGGCCCTCAGCCTCCTTCCCCAGCTGCTTCCATCCTAGCCCAGGCCTGGGAGCCATTCTTACACTCTCACGCTCGTGTGCACGCTCACACACACATCACACACCTTGATGGTCACACAGTCACAGCCTGGCCTCTGCTTCTGTGGGCCACTGGCCGGACACCCCCTGGGATGGCTCAAAGGAGTCAGGAGTTGGAAGTGGAAACATTGGGGTAGCTGAAGGAAATCCACACACTCAGAGCAGATCTGGGTTCAGACTCTGACCTAAGGTAGGCTCCCCAGGGCCTAAGAGGGGAGTTGGACGGAATGGAGGATGCAGGACAGAGAGAAGAAGAAAGGAGGAGGAGTGCAACGTGTGGGCAGCTGCCCAGTGAACATAGAGGGAAATGCCATGCAAGTGCTGGACAGAAGGGGCAGGTGGGATGAGCCCCACAGCCCCCTCCCCAGAAACAACCCCCTCCGGACTCAGCCCTCCCTGGAGGGCAGGCTCCACCAGCCCTCGGCCACATGTGGTTCCAGTACCGAAGGTCCGAGTGCCTGGGATGGAGACGGTCGGTTCTGGTGGCCAGGTCCGATGCTCTGAAATCCAGCACCATTTCTCTCCAGGCCATGCCCGTCCACCAGCCTCTTCCATGCATTCAGCCCCTACACACCCGGGGACCCCTGGTGGGGTGCGAGGGCACCTGTAGGGAGAGGGCCGAAGGGGTCAGGGAAGCCCCGGCCTGGAGGGTACAGGGGCACTTCCCCCAAGGTGGACCCAGAAGGCAGAGACCCAGGGGCAGGGACCCAGGCTGAATTGGGGGCACGGTGGTGGCTTGGCACTGTGTCCTATGGCTGAACTTGGGAGACCTGCGGACCAGTCTTTTACTCCCACACTCCACTGAACTAGTTTTTGCTTTCATATGGAGTCTCACTCTGTTGCCCAGGCAGAAGTGCAGTGGTACGATCTCGGCTCACTGCAACCTCCCAGGTTCAAGTGATTCTCCTGCCTCAGCCTCACCAGTAGCTGGGATTACAGGCACCTGCCACTACACCTGGTGAAGTCTTCATTTTTAGTAGAGAAGGGGGTTTCATTATGCTTGTCAGGCTGGTCTCAAACTTCCCACCTCGAGATCCTCCCGCCTCTGCTTCCCAAGTGCTGAAATGACAAGCATGAGCCATCGTGCCTGGCCCGCTGAACTATTCTTGTCAAGGTCATCAGTAGCCTCGGTGCTGCTGGACCCTATGGTTATTCTCAGTTCTTCTCTTATTTAGTCTCTCAGGAGCACCTGACCTGTTGATCACTCCTTCCTCCTGGATACACTGCCTTCATTTGCACTGGCGAGAACATACTCTCCTGGTGTCCCTTCTACAGCACGGGTTTGTCCTCTTCTCTCCAGTAATCCTTAACATTAGCGTGACCACAGCAGAGTGGTCTTGTCTTTTGTATCCATAGTCCTCTGATGGTCTCATCCAGACAAATGACTTCCAATACCACTCATGCTAGTAATGCCCAATTTTTTAAATCTCCAACCCTTTTAAAAACACTCCTAACTTGGCTGGGCATGGTAGCTCACACCTGTAATCTCAGCACTTTGGGAGGCCAAGGCAGGTGGATCACCTGAGGTCAGGAGTTCAAGACCAGCCTAGCCAATATGGTGAAACCGCATCTCTACTAAAAATACAAAAATGAGTTGGGCTTGGTGGCAGGCACCTGTAGTCAAAGCTACTCAGGAGGCTGAGGCAGGAGAATCACTTGAACCCAGGAGGCAGAGGTTGCAGTGAGCCAGGATTGCATCATTGCACTCCAGCCTGGGCAACAGAGCCAGACAGGATTTCAAATAACAACCACCAAAAAAAAAACAAAAACAAAAACAAAAACCTCCCAACTCAATATATATTTATCCTGGACGTCTCCCCTCAGAAGTCTAATGGCTGCCTCCAACCCAACATGTCCCAAATTAAATTTATGAGCCGGGCATGGTGGCTTATGTTTATAATCCCAGCACTTTGGGAGGCTGAGGTAGGAGAATTGCTTGAGCCCAGGAGTTCAAGACCAGCCTTGACAACATAGTGAGACCCCCATCTCTACAAAAAGTTTAAAAATTAGTGGTTGGGCACAATGGCTCATGCCTATAATCCCAGCACTTTGGGAGGCTGAGGTGGGTGAATCACTCGAGGTCAGGAGTTCGAGACCAGCCTGGCCAACATGACAAAACCTGGTCTCTACTAAAAATACAAAAATTAGCCGGGCATGGTGACCAGCACCTGTAATCCCAGCTACTTGAGAGGCTGAGGCAAGGAGAATTGCTTGGACCTGGGAGGCGGAGGCTGCAGTGAGCCAACATCGCACCACTGCACTCCATCATAGGCGACAGAGCGAGACTCTGTCTCAAAAAAGAGTAATAATAAAATAAAAAATAGGTGAGACACGGTGGCTCACACCTGTAATCCCAGCACTTTGGGAGGCCAAGGTGGGTGGATCACAAAGTCAAGTGATCAAGACCATCCTGGCCAACATGATGAAACCCTGTTTCTACTAAAAAAAAAGAAAAAACAAAAAACAAAAATTAGCTGGGCGTGGTGGCATACACCCCGTAGTCCCAGCTACTCAAGAGGTTCGCTTGGGGCTGGGAGGTTAAGGCTGCAGTGAGCCCTGGTCATACCACTGCACAGCAGCCTGGGCAACAGGGTGAGACTCTATCTCGGAAATGAAAACAAACAAAAAACAAGTATCAGTCCTTTGCTTAAAACCCCGAAGTAACCGCCTCTCAGCATAAAAGCCAAAGTCTTTTCAAGGGGCTACAAGCTCTTTAATGTCTCCCTCTCCTTCTTGCCCATTCTGCCCCAGCCGAGACAGCTTTCTGGCTCTTCTGACATGCCAGGCACTGTCCCATCTTAAGGCTTTTCCACTGTGTCCCCTTCCTGAAATGTTCTCCCCCTGGATAGCCACAGGTGGCTTAACCCCTGTAAAATAGCACCTTCTCAGTAAGACCTGCTCTGCCATACACTACTTTGAAATGATTCCCATCCTCACCCCAAGCTCTGCTTAGTTTCTATAAGCTGCTCAGTTCTGTTTCATAACGCATCCCCTGCTAACATACACACTTTACTTATTCTTGATGTTTATGGTCTGGGAAGAAGGAAATTATCCAAGAGTCCTGCTGCAGACACATTGAGTAAGGGCTGATGATGGAAGACAGTGGGGCTGAGGGAAAATGAAGGGTAGGGATGAAGTAGAAACTAGAAGAGAATTGCATGAACATAATGAGTTATGAGTTAATATCCAGAATATGCCAAGAATACCTTCAGGCTGACTCTGAGTGCCCTGCCTAGGAGTTATCCCTGCTCCCCAAGGAGAAGAAAAAAAAACAACTTCAAATCTATTAGATTAGGCTGGGCATCTCAAAGTGCTATAACCCCAGCACTTTGAGAGGCCGACGCAGGTGGATTGCGTGAGGTCAGAAGTTTGAGACCAGCCTGACCAACATGGTAAAATCCCATCTCTACTAAAAATACAAAAATTAGCCAGGTGTGGTGGTGTGGGCCTGTAGTCCCTTCTACTGGGGAGGCTGAGGCAGGAGAATCACTTGAACCCAGGAGGTGGAGGTTGCAGTGAGCCAAGATCGCACCACTGCTCTCTGGCCTGGGCGACCAACTGAGACTCCATCTTAAAAAAAAAGACCGGACACAGTGGCTCATGCCTGTAATCCCAGCACTTTGGTGGGAGGCTGATGCTGGCGGATCACAAGGTCAGGAGTTCGAGACCACCCTGGCCAATATGTGAAACCCCATCTCTACTAAAAATACAAAAATTCACTGGGCATGGTGGCAGGCACCTGTAATCCCAGCTACTCTGGAGGCTGAGGCAGGAGAATAGCTTGAACCCAGGAGGCAGAGGTTGCAGTGGGCTGAGATTGCTCTGTTGCACTCCAGCCTGGGTGACACAGCAAGACTCCATCTCCAAAAGGAACAGAAAAAAAAAAAAAAAGAAAAAATCATTTAGATTTTTAAAAGTAAATGATCTGTAATTTTTCTGTTTGTTTTAGAGACAGGATCTTGTTCTGTTGCCCAAGCTGGAGTGCAGTGATGTGATCATGGCTCACTGCAGCCTTGAACTCCTGGCCTCAAGCGATCCTCCCCACTCTTGCCCCCAAATTCCCACCATTATAGGAATTATAGGTGCTGCCACCATACCTGTTTTTTTTTTTTTTTTTTTGGTAGGGACTGAGTCTCACTATGTTGCCCAGGCTGGTCTTGAACTCCCAGACTCCAGTGATCCTCTCACCTTGGCCTCCCTGAGCGTTGGATTACAGGCATCAGCCACCATGCCCAGCCTGGTGATGTAGTTCATGAGTATTTACTATACTTTATAATTTACATGCTATGTATATTATTTTCCAGCTATCGAACCATATATATACATATATATATACACACACACACACACATGCACACATATGCATATATATGTATATATATTTTTTGAGACAGGGTCTGGCTCTGTTGTGCAAGCTGGGGTGCAGCGGCACAATCATAGCTCACTGTGGCCTACAAGTCCTGGATTCAAGTGATCCTCCTCCCTCAGCCTCCCAGGTAGTCACGACTACAGGAATGCACTACCATGCCTGGCTATTTCTTTAAGATTTTTTTTTTTTACAGAGGCGGGATCTCCTTTCTCTTTTTCTCTTTCTTTCTTTCTTTCTTTTGCCTAGTCTGGTCTTGAACTCCTGGCCTCAAATTATCCTCCCAATGTGACCTCACAATGCACTGGGGTTACAGGCATGAGCCACCATGCAGCCCCTACAAAATCTGACTGTTATCCAGGTGCTTCTTTTGGACCTCCTAGCTAGACTGCCAGTGGCAAATACTGTTTATTATTTTCCAGCATTTATGTTAATGGATTTCCCAGGTTTTACTTGTCTAGGCTAGGGTTTCTCAACAGCAGCACTATTGACGTTTTGGGCTGGAGAATTCTTTGTTATGGGGCTGTCTGTGCCTCGCAGGGTATTCAGCAGCATCCCCAGCCTCCGCCTGCCACACGCTAGTAACACTCCTCAGGTGTGACAGCCAAAGTGATCTCAGATATTGCCAAATGTTCCCAGGGAGACAAAGTCACCTCCAGGTGAGAACTGCTGACCTGAAAACCTCTGGAACAATGTTACATCACGGGGATGATAGCACACACTGCTCCTGACCTTACTGGGAATACCTCTAGTATCAAAGTATAGTGGTACCCACATCCTACTGTCTGGGCTGCTATATCACTATACTGTATTAGTCCATTCTCATGCTGCTCTGAAGAAATACCCACGGCTGGGTAATTTATAAGAAAAGAGGCTTAACTGACTCACAGTTCTGCAGGGCTGGGAAGGCCTCAGGAAACTCACAATTATGGCAGAAAACACCTCTCCACGGAGGAGCAGGAGCGAGAAATAGAACCAAGCAAAGGGGAAAGCCTGTTATAAAACCATCAGATCTCCCGAGAACTCACTATCACGAGAACTGAGTGGGAGAAACCGCCCCCAGGATTCAATTACCTCCACCTGTTCCCAGCCCACACGTGGGGATTATTACAGTTCAAGGTAAGATTTGGGTGGGACACAGCCAAACCGAATCATATCCTTCACATTAGCATACTGTATCAAAGTATAATTTTCTTTTTCTTTGAGACAGAGTCTTGCTCTGGCTGGAGTGCAGTGGCACGATAGTTCACTGCAACCTGTGCCTTCTGAGTTCAAGCAATTCTTGTGCTTCAGCCTCCCAAGTAGCTGGAACTTCAGGTGTGAGCCATCATGCCTGGCTAATTTTGATTTTTTTTTTTTATAGTAGAGATGGGGTTTCACCATGTTGACCAGGCTGGTGTCAAACTCCTGGCCTCAAGTGGTCTGGCCACTTCAACCTCCCGAAGTGCTGGGATTACAGGCATGAGCCACCTCACGCAGCCTGAATTATAATGTTCAGAATGTGAAAAGCATGACTTTCATACAAAGAATGAAGGAATATGTATAAGACATTTTCTTTCATTCATAAGGGAGTCAGCAACCGGTGAAGCTACTTCAAGGGTCCAGTGAGCTGAGAGACAGTGTCTGTAGTGCTCCAGGGAGGGCATTCTGAAATGCATTCTGACACAGAGACAAACTTGTTAATATCCTATAGGGAGGCCGGGCACGGTGGCTCACGCCTGTAATCCCAGCACTTTGGGAGGCTGCGGCGGGCAGATCACCTGAGATCAGGAGTTCAAGACCAGCCTGGCCAACATGGTGAAATCCTGTCTGTACTAAAAATACGAAAATTAGCCAAGCGCGGTGTCTGGCACCTGTAGTCCCAGCTACTTGGGAGGCTGAGGCAGGAGAATTGCTTGAACCCAGGAGACATAGGCTGCAGTGAGTTGAGATCATGCTACTGCAGTCCAGCCTGGGCAACAGAGCAAGATTCTGTCTCAAAAAAAAAAAAAAATTCTTATAGAGACATAAAACTTCCATCTTTGGGAGTTTTCTACTGGACAGAAATCTGTAAGTTAACATATACATATTCTCAAGTGTATTCATAACATATTGTCAAGTATATTTCCCTACATTAGTGGTTTTCAAAGCATGGTCTCAAATTGGAAGCATCAGCGCCACCTGGGAACATAGAAATGCAATGCTCAGGACCCACCTGGGTCCTGTTGAATTAGAAACTCTGGTGTAGGGCCAGCAGCCAGGCTTTCTACAAGCCCTGCAGTGACTATCATGCACACTAATGTTTGACAACCACTGCTCTAAATAGTCAAATAATCTGTAAAACAAATATCTATGAAACAATGCTTAAAGAAAAAAACACACCACAAACCTTTTTATCTTATTTCTGAATTTAAATATTTTGTCTGATGTTAAATTTGCTGTTTCATTTTCCAATTTAAGGAAGTTTTTATCTGTTCCTAATTTTCTCTTTTTAAATAAAAATGGTTTTCCAAATCTATCTATTTCTCTCTCTTTTTTTTTTTTGAGATGGAGTTTTCCTCTGTCGCCAGGCTGGAGTACAGTGGCACAATCTCGGCTCACTGCAACCTCCGCCTCCCGGGTTCAAGTGATTCTTCTGCCTCAGCCTCCCGAGTAGCTGGGACTATGGGCATGTGCCAAACGCCCCGCTAATTTTTGTATTTTTAGTTCACCATGTTGGCCAGGATGGTCTCGACCTCTTGACCTCGTGATCCACACGCCTCAGCCTCCCAGAGTGCTGGGATTACAGCCGTGAGCCACTGCACCTGGTCCAGTTTTCTCTTCTTTATCCTACTGATAGGACAAAATGAAAGTTGAGCCATTCTTACGTGTTTTTTGTTTTGTTTTGTTTTTTGAGATGAAGTCTCACTCTGTCACCCAGGCTGCAATGCAGTAGTGCGATCTCAGTCCACTGCAACCTCCACCTCCCAGATTCAAGTGATTCTGGTGCCTCAGCCTCCTGAGTAGCTGGAATTATAGGCACCTGCCACTATACCCTGCTTTTTTTTTTTTTTTTTTAGCAGAGACAGGGTTTTGCCATGTTGGCCAGGCTGGTCTAGAACTCCTGATCTCAGGTGATCTGCCTGCCTGGGCCACCCAAAGTGCTAGGATTACAGGTGTGAGCCACCGCGCCCAGACCTTTTTTTTTATTTGAAATGGTCTCATTATGTCACCCAGGTTGCAGTACAGTGGCGCCATCATGGCTCACTGCAGCCTCCATCCCCCACGCTCAAGAGATCCTCTCGCCTCAGCCTCTTAGGTAGCTGGGACGACGGGTATGCACCAGCACAAGCGGCTAATGTTTTGTAGACACTGGGGTCTCCCTATGTTGCCCAAGCTGGTCTAGAACTTTTGGGCTCAAGTGATTCACTGGCCTTGGCCTCCCAAAGTGCTATGATTACAGGTCTTATGTTCTTAAAATTTTTCTTTGACGTGATATAGTAACTTAACATACTGTTGTTTTCAACAGGCTAGTGTTTTTGATTTGTAAAAGAACTCTTCAGAAATGAGCTCATTTTTACCATGAATTGGGACATTCTCCATTTCTTTGTATTTTATAGAGAAGTTTAATTGTCATGGGCTCTGTCTTTTGAAAGCTTCAAAGCCTGAAACAATAAAGCCAGCTGCACCTGGTGCATGGGATAGGCATGGAATTGAGGAGACAGCACAAACTGCAGTCAGCCCTCTGTATCCTCAGGTTCTGGATCCTTGGATTTAACCAACTGTGCATCAAAAATATTCGGAAAAAGTAAAACAATTAAAAAAAAAATTTCAAAATACTTTTTAACAGCTATTTACAAACCGTGTACATTGCATTAGGCATTATCGCAATCTAGAGATGATTTAAAGTCTACAGAACGATGTGCATAGGTTATATGCAAGTACTATGCCACATTACATCAGGGACTCGAGCATCTGTGAATTTTGGTATCTCTGGGGTCCTGGAACCAATATCTTGAGGTTGTTAAGCGACGACCGTATTCGATTTCTTCTTTGGTTATTAGGCTAGTCTCTAATGTATTTTTGTTGTTTTGTCTTTTTGTTTTTGCCTCTTCAAATCAATGTCGGAAAGTTAACTTTTTGTAGACTACTCATTTGCTCAAAGTCACCCTTAAGCAGACTACCGCTGCAATCTAAGCAACCGATTCTTTTCCCCATCCCATGGGCAAACATTAAGATAAGCTTCTATTGATGTCGAAGTCGTAGGGAGTTTTCCTGAGCATGTAAATGATGACAGCCCTTTTCCCTAGGCGCTTAGAGGATTCATCAAAATGAAATAAAATACACACGCACTTGAAGAAGATATCTGGTTATTTCCTAATCTGGGTGCTGGTTATGTGAGGTCTACAGTTTATGAAAACTTAAAAAGTTTACATTTATAATATATACAGTTTTCTGTATGTGTATATTTCAAGTTTTCAAAATACGTCTTTTGCCACAGCCCGCAGTTGTGCATAATGGCATTTGCTTAATAGTGGAAAACATGGCAATGACCTGGAACCCTAGCTCCCGGGATCCTACCCGCTTAAGTTAAATGAAATAACTTCCGCGGTCTCTCCTAATGCCTGCATTCGGACCTCTGTTAAACTGCCGGTTAGCGCCGGTTTTTTCCCGGGAAGGGTTCTGGGAGACGGAGGAGACGCAGCAGTTCGCCCTCGCCACCTCCAGGGGGCGGCGGTCCGCTCCCAGCCACACTCGAGCAGGCCCCGCCCACCCAGAGGCCGTGACTCCAAGTCAAGTGACGGTGGAATCAGCTGACCCGGCGCGAGCGGAAAAAGGAATTACCCGGCGCGGGCTTCCTGGCGCGATGGTGAGGCACCGGGGTGAAGCGAGGCCTGGGCTGCTGGAGCGGGAATGAGGGGGCGCCGGTGGCTCCGGAAACGGGGGAGGTTGTCTCCACTGGCCTCTCCGCAAACACAGGGTGTGCGGGCGTGAGGACTGCGAGTCTGGTAGAGAAAAGTCCGCGGCCGCCGGTTCCCGAGACGCGGGCGAGTAAGACAGCGCGGCCGGCGGCTTAGAGTCCCCTTGCCTCCCTGGCGGACGGAAGGGCCCCTGCCTCCCGGGGCAGGAACTGGGGCTTGTCTGGAGCTGGAGTCCTTTCAGGTCTTCCGCAGCCCCAAGAGGACCTTCCAAGGACGCCCACTTCCCCACCCCTGCTGTGGGACTTGGACAGGAGCGTGCTTAGAATCAGGCTCCCTCTTCCATACTGTTGGGAAGCCGCTCCGCTCCTTCCAGAGCCAGAAAGTAGTAGTACTTGGGTTGAGACTCATCCATCCATCCACCCACCCACCCGTACGTTCTGAGCGCCGCGTCTATACCATGCAGTGTGCTGGGCACTGGGAGGACCTCAGCTGCCGAGGGAATTGGCAGTCATAGTTAAGGCTCTAGGGACAGAGACCTAACTGCGCCTTGTGTGTAGGGTTAAGGCGGCTTCCTGAGGATGACTTCAACCTTAAAGGGGGATGGCAGGAGCTGGCTGGCTGAAGCACAGTTTCTGTCCCAGGGGTTGGGAGGTAAGGGTGTGAGGCGTGTGTCTTCAGACAGGGAACAGCATGTGCAGAGACTTAGGTCTGAGAGAGAGCATGGCTCCCCAGCAATGAATGCATGTCATATAGCTGGGAGAGTGTCATCTGGAGGTTAGTGAAAGATGAGGCTGGACAAGTAAAGACCAAATCTTCCTGGCTCTTGGGTCACCACAATCAAAATAATGAGCATATCGACTGGCCCCAAAATTTCCTTGTGTGAGGGGCTATTTTAGGAAGTATGATCAAGAAGGGCCAGTCTTCCCAGGTGCGGTGGCTCACACCTGTCATCCCAGCACTTTGGGAGGCTGAGGAGGGTAGATCACATCAGGTCAGGAGTTCGAGACCAGCATGGCCAACGTGGTGAAACCCTGTCTCTACTAAAAATACAAAATTAGCTGGGTGCAGTGGCTCATGCCTGTAATCTCAGCTACT